CATCAAATACTTTCACCTCAAACTCACTAAATCCCAGCCTCAGCCCATTCAGAAATGCCGGTACTTGGGTAGAAACCTATACTGTATATAGGAGCATATACACACACATGGCTTGACATTGGCACCCCCCAAATGCGGGTGAATTTCAGCAGTGTAACGCAGTCACTCGTACTAGACAATGTGGTGGGTTGAATTTTAATATAATACATTTTCAATTGTAGTCTTTTTAAAAAGGCATCTGAAAACATAAACTAAGTTCAATGTAGTGTTGTCAAAAATCTCAACACCGATACTGAAATATCTGAAACGCTTCCAATACCCATTTTCCGCAGAATACACGATGCCAGCTGTGATTTCTCTCTCTCATGATCTCAATAGCGAGTTGACACACAAACACGCCTCCATTCACTCATTTCATTTGTTCCGTATGAATATTGTTGCTGTTACAGGGCTTGAATCTTGGCGAGGGATTACACGTATTGTGCATAATTTTACTCATTCCCAAACCCAAAGTACGCGCACATAAAGCCGCCTTTTTACTAAATTTAGTTCTTTTTCGCTGCTTATTGCACTTAAACGGTTAAATACACACAAAATAATGTCAAAATGCTGGTCTTGGCGAGTATCTGCGAGTATTCACGTAAACACAGTCAGTTTTAAGTGAACGTAAACAGTTGAGAAAGAAAACGCATGTGTAACAGTGTAATGGATCTGTGTGTCAGGTCTTAAAGTGACAGCAGCCTAATAAACCTGCTGCCAAATTATGAGATAATACTAGGATTTTTAAATTATTTTGAGATTGGTCTTTATGTTCACCAAGGTTGCATTTATTTGATCAAAATACAGTAAAAAATATTAATTTTCTTACATAATATTACAATTTCAAAGAACTGTTTTCTATTTTATTATATTTTAGGATCTGCTGAATATTATATTCAGCATCATTACTCCAGTCTTCAGTGTCACATGATCCTTCAGAAATCATTCTAATATGCTGATTTGCTGCTCAAGAAACATTTCGCATTATTGTTATGTTGAAGACAGTTGTGCCGCTTAATATTTTTTTTGTGGAAACGATGATACTTTTTTCTGGATCCTTTGATGAACAGAAAAGAACAGGATTTATTTGAAATAAAAATGTTTTGTATTAAAAAATAAAAGTCTAAATATCTATGGTAGGCTACTACAAAAAATAATCAATTTTTATAAACAAAAAAAAATTTATTAATAATAATTTTCGAACATTGTGTTCCTTCACGCATATCTCCTTTTGTGTTACACAGAACACGGGATTCCATCTCGCATAATTCATTTCCTCAATTAATTGACAAACACTGACAAGCCCGCATTTGATCTTTCACATCTGTTTTTAAGCCACACCTGCGTCATGCTCTCATAGGATGAATGACATTGTTCAAAGAAAGAATTAACCATACAGTAGGCTACTGTACACACCAGTGTCTGGGTTGTTGTAGCCTACTTTTTTTATACGCAAGATTAATCCAAATTAGCAATGCGGTCACATGCGCAGGAGCTTTCCGAATAGCATTGTCCGAGTTGTATCGCTTATCCGCCGTGTCTTACAGAGAGGAAAGAGAAACGCGTGAAGTGCAGTGGAATAATGAGGTCGTTTTTGTCCGACCACACAATGCTTGCAGTCTTCCCTCGGCTTTAATATGCAGCTTTGGCGGGAATGACTGTATTGTTCTCTCTTTAGATTTAACGTGTGTGTGTGTGTGTGTGTGTGTGTGTGGGTGGGAGAGAGAGAGCTACCGCTATAGGTGACATCATCAGTGCAGAGAAAACCCCTCATTAGGGAGTGACTCATCTTATTAGTAGCGTTTTCTAAAACGCAGCACGTGGGGCCTAAAGGAAAAGGATCTCGCGGTCAGATGATGACGGAGAGCTTTCCAGCACTTAAATACACAGACAAACACACGCACATGCCCACACACACCTGTGCAGGTGGGCTTTTGGAGTCGTTTCATTTGAAGCCACAATAATAGATCAAAAAGGCCTCGCTGCCTATCCCAAGCTTTTATGAGACTGTTTAAAAATACAGTGAACGTGTGAAAAAGAAGTAGTTATGATGGCAGTGCAAACATTGTAATCTAAAGACAGGTGCACTGATGAGAATATGAAAATCATCTTTCTCACGGTGGGGGTGGGTAATGATTTCCGAAATATCATAGCTTATGTTGATGATTATATTTTAATATTTTTTTCCATGACGTTTCAGAAGAACAGTAGGCCCATGTGAGCATTAGATATTTGGCGTTAAATTTTTTTTTCCATAGCATCTCTGATTTAAACTGTCCATTAAATGAATCTGTTCAGAAATGTTCATGGAAGTCCCTTGGCACCTACTACTTATTGTTGTATTGGAACATACAAATCATATATTTTATTTGTATTTTTTTTATTTTTAGGTTTTTATCTCCTTTATGCCATTTTGATTAAAAAATGGGATGTAGGTCTACTCAAATATCACAAAAATTGTGACAAGAATAAAAATATAGGCCTATAAAGTATAAAATTAGGCCTAGTGTATAAAGAAGTTAAAAAAAATAGAAAGAATGTAGGCTCACTCAAATATTGTCAAATGACTGAATAATATAAACATTCTAGAATATAAATATAAAACAAATGTAAAAAAAGATTTGATACATATAATAAAAATTTAATTTTCCCTTTTTTATCCATTTTGATTAAATACCAATATATTGGCCTACTCAAATATTGCAACAATACTGAAAGATTAATATAATTTGTTATAAAATATAAAGGATTATGAATAAAGATACAGTAAAACAAGAAATATATAAATTAATATTTCACACACACAGGGGGAAAAAGTAGCTATTTAGATTTAAATGACTGGATCATTATGGCAGTGATTATGATGTTTCTAGCATGTTATATGTTTGGCAACAGTTCTTCTAACCCTAACTGATGGAGTGTGGAGCTTTTCATTTCCTAAACAACCATATAGGAAGAAACATCATGGCCATATTCCAGGATGACAATGTCAAGATTCATATATACATATGTGTGTATGTGTGTGTATAGTTCACTTTCTTTTGATGTAAAAGTGTATCTGGTGAGATTTTGGCATATGAGTAGCTGTGGACCATACGCATGTACGTACCTCAAAGATCAGAGAATCCACAGTGGATTACAGTGCGGTAATGATGGTATGAGTGTGTTTATGTCGAGTGTGAGCGCTGAGAGTGCATGCCTGTGCTTGTGAGTGTCAGATGGAATGGCTTACAGGAACAGCCTGTTACAATAGTAGGAAAATACTATTAAGTGTCTCTCCGTCACTCTGAAGAAGAGTGGAGGGATTCTAAATGTTGATCGTGTTATAGGTACACGTGGGTGAAAGACGGTAAAGGTCTGAATTTTAATACCAAGAACCAGACTTATATGTAATGGGAAACACTCTCTCCAGAAAAAAAACACTAATATTTTTACATATATCTTTTCTTTTTTTTTAATCAGTACGGTCATGCGTAACTCAGTCCTGGTTTATCTTAGATAAACCGGGTTTGGCTGAACCGCACAGGTTATCTTTGAACTGCACACCTGTTGGTACTTTAAAAAAGCTGGCAGGTGAGTGGAGATGAAGGGGCGCATGAGACAAGCCAGAGAAGGAAGAGGAATGTGTGTGTGTGTGTGTGTGTGTGTGTGTGTGTGTGTAATGCTGGCAGTAATTGTCCCTTTGGCTTGTTGCCTGGTTTGTAATGGCTGGTGCTTTTTAATGGCACCGCAGCAGGTTGAGCTGGTGAATGAGGACATACTGTTACTGTAAATATAATAAAACAGAGCAGACGATCTAAACAGGAGGCCTCTCTCGCAGTGCCCTTCAGTTTGAGCTGGCGGGGAAGGCATTGTTTCTTGCTTCCTCTGTGTTATGACTAGATATTAAGCTCTCAGGGTCTTTCACACACTCACACACAATCTCTTATGGCTGCGTGTGTGAATTTGTAAGGAACCCTTGAACAGGTCTTCGAAAATGTGATTCAAATGAATTACACCTTAAACTATTTAAGAGGTTTTTTTTTTATATTAAAATAGTGATGTCTGACTCTTTTAACAATAACGGGAAAGGATCTCGCGTGAATATGCTAATGCTTGTTAAATTGCACCCTCTGGTGGTGATGGACTAGACTGCATGATTTAGACATTTGTTGTAATGATCAAACATGCTATCCGCATATTATTGAGCACCGCAAAAATAGATATCGGGACCATATTGAGAATTTGTTCCAATAACTTATTCATGGCCACATTTTATTAAGTCATTTCCTTGTTTTAGTTAAATCATGGCCACGCCATACTAATTCATTCCCTAAATTTTGGCCGTTTTCCTAAATCATTCCCTTAATTGTTTTAAGCTAATTTTCATTTTTGGGTGAACTATCCCTTTAAGTTCAATTGTGGCCACGCTGACGAAGGGTAGGTTTACAATGATGTACTAAAAACGGAAAAGATTTTCCTTTGCGTGTTTCGTGTACAGATGACAACGTAGTCAAAACAACCGAAACACAAACTTCTTAAAATTGGTTTCAAAGTGCAAGTTTTTAAAAACAATAACTTTATTGAATTTGAAAAACACGAATTTGTGAAAACGGTGACATCATGCACATACGTATTACATGTTCAGTCTATAGGCGCATATTATAGTGTTTCTAACCCAAAAAAAATCAACATAACAGCATAGTTCTGTAACACTTTTATCGTATTAGTTTTATTTGGTTAACATTCTTGTACATGTTTGCTTTTTTTTTTTTTTGGTTGTTGTTTTTTTACATACATGCATTTTCGAAGTTGTAAACAAAAAGATTATTGGAGTATATTTTACAAGAAATTACTAATTCAGTCTCTCAATGTCTACTTGCAGTTTCTTTGTAATTAATAGAGAAATTTACTAGCAGAAACAGATTTTTTCTTCTGTGAAACCAAAAAAAAAACAATAACCATGACAAAATTCATCAGTATATTCAAAGACAAGCATTTGTCTCAAGACTGACAGCCACTTTCTGTCAGTGCCGTTGCGAAGCTCTTCAGCTCGTCGCATTTCACCTGCAGAGGAGATCCAGCCCCGCATTCAGACACAGCCGGCCAGCGCTCGACCCACGTGTCTTTCCCCAGCGTATACACATACCTGAGAGGCAAACCGTGAGCGAATAGTCAAATACAGCCCCTAACATGTACATTTCCAGTGCTATTATGCTACTCACCTGTTGGACGTGCTCCCTGCTTGCCAAACGTCAGCGATCGGCCCAATGATCAGGTAGTCCTGACCCTCTCTCAAACCAAGCCCTGTCCTACAGCTCGCATGAGAGAGGAACATTCGTCTTTCCTTCTCGATCAGACCTTCTTCTGTCCCTACACAAACAGAAACGTATGGAACCTTTCCGTTATGCAAAAGGTTCTTTTTATAGTGTAAAAAGGGTTCTTTAGATTTTTTAAATGTTCTTAAAATCGAGATTTTGTAAAAGGGCATAGTAGGTCCCCTTTAAGAGTGTGGTAGACGTACCCTCTTTGATAACCTGCACAATCTCCATCTCATACTGGTCATAGTGACTCTGGCTGGCGCTGATCAGTGTGACCCTGTAGGCTGAAGAAAAGACACATTTATTGAGAAGATGGTGACATCCCGATGTGTCCCCCCCCAAAAAAAAGAAACTTTTACCATGATGTAATCCATTGCACACAGCAGCCTTCCTCTGTTCTTTCCCAAAAGACAAGGAGTCTTCTTTCACTACACAACAGTCACCTATGAAAGAAAGTTTTATAACTGGTTAAAGTTGAAAAGTTGATTGAAAACATAAAGATAGTCCTGCTGAACTGACCCTGTGAGCAGCGGCACACGTCGTCTTTGCAGATCTGATCGAGCTGCTGTTGGTCTTCAGGAGGAGAGTAGAATCTGCTACAACGCTTATCTGACAGAACAAAGATCACACCGTTAGTAACCGTTTGTATGGAGCCCCGTGCATGATTTGTTTTTTCTTCATTCCACTACCCTACCTCTCCCTTTTTACCTGCAAAAATGCATTCTGTGTGAATAGCAAGGCGATTGAGTTATTCATGCCAGTAGCAGAAACAATGTGAGATGAGTCGAGGCCAAGAAAATACTTAACGGTGTAGATTAGTAGTATAACTTCACAAACGAACCTTTGTTGTAGTACTGGTAAACCGTGACAGTGGAAGGCTGAAGGAGCCCCACTTTAAATTTCTGATGCAGTCTGAATGAGATCATGTCTGTATCAGTACTGGACACCTGTCCGGGTCATTCATACAAAGACAAATATTCAGTGTTGCCTTCATTTACATCATGGTAAACATGTATAAACCTTTAGGGTGGTTGTTAGGTTACCTTAAACAAGTGAATTATGAGGGATCCTCTGTCACTCAGGTTGTCCACCACTTGGTAGTTGTTAATGTAGCGGTCCACTGAATTTTTAAGCTAAAAAAAAAAAAAATCACCCCTGACATTATCACTTCTATAACCTAATGATTTGCCTTGCTGCATATATTCTGTGTAGGTAGCTACCTACATAGCATCCTAACTGTCAAGGGGACATATTTGAATTGCTTTTCATAGTCAGAAACTGCGCGCAACACAAATAGACTCAACTCACGACTCAATAGACTTCAGCGTTAGCATGTTGCTAAGCTAAAAACATAATACTCTTGGCATAAAAATACAAAGCACATACAAATATTGGGTAGAAAAGCCCATTGGTGTGTTGAATAAAAAGAATAATGATTTTTTAATCAACTTATTTTCATGATTTTTTAAACCATCTTGGATGTAGCTTGTCGCAATGTATTATGGGATTGTATTCTCCATGATAGATAATGTAATCCTGCCAAATTTGGCCAAAATTAGAGCTTTCGCGTCTGGAGTGCACATGTGACGCCTCCAAATGTTGTCTTGGTAGGATACAACACAGCTAGCTACATGATTAGCTGTTATTTATCGCTAATGTAATGCCACATTATGTCACGAGTTTGGTCTTACCAACTCTAAATCTGAGTTTTCAGGCTCAAAGCCGGTGGGCAGGCCGATGTCCAGAATGACCATCCTCACTTGGCGTGCCTCCAGAGCCCTTTGGGGATGCAAAGCAGATTGTGGAAACCACAATAATATGTCCTAGAAAAAACAAGATATCTACCTGCATGCATACAAGCGCTCACCTCACGTGGATATTGAGTCTGTAGGATTTTTCTACATCTGGTGGGTTTTTTTCTAAAATGGACCAAAGAGTGATCTTAATGAAAACCTGTCCGCTATATGTGTACAGCTAAGATTACAAGACCTCAGAGTTAAAAAAAAAAAGCGTAGCAACATTTTCAGTTTTACAGATTGAATGTATATTTACACAGTAAAACAATATTTCATTAACTGATATAATGCCAGGTAACACTTTATTTTAGTATTCATATGCTGCCTTTATATGCTAATCAGAATTATAGTAAATACGAGTTTCCTAGTTAAAAATTGGACATGAACACCCACTCAAGTCGTATTTACCACTGGGAAGCTTGGCGATAATTTTGAAACCCAAGTTTCATAAACTTAAAACATGGCGGAAGGGAGAACGACTGCTGCCGTGGCTGTTTTTCTTTATTACTTTTTTCCACAATAGATACATAGCCTTGACCCGTTGTTAAAGTAGTGCATATTTACATATATGAATAATAATTTGAAGCATATTGATGTTTTATACACAGCGAAAATAGCCTGTATTTGCCCAAAATTCCAGAATTGCAAGCAGGCTGACTATAGATAGTGCAGTGAATGTTTATGGTTGTCAATAAATGGGACGCTAAATATAATTTTGGCTTTAATAAGATTTTCCCAATAAATAGGTAAGAATAAACCTGGTGTCCTCCATGATTCCTGTTCTTTCCAACAACAAAGCACTTGAATGCGACGAGCTCGTAAATACAACGTAAGAAGTGGGAAGATGGAAATTTCCGATAGCACGTGATGACAGCATTAATGCACGTTACTACATGTACTTAATATAGTAATAACAGTAAATTATGCATAATTAATTCTGACTTTTTATCTCATAATAGAGTGATATAAACACAGCTATGAGAAATGTCAAAATTGTCAGAATTTTGAGATAAAACATTGCAATTACTTATTTTTTCCATATAAACTGATTAGAGAACATACCATTAGTCTCAGCGATGGAGACGTCCAGCTGAAAGCCGTTACACGTGCTGTTCTCGAACACATCAGGAAGCTGGTGGTACACAGTCACTACCTGAGACACATAAAATGCAACAGAGTAAAGATTGTAACTAAATTACATCTTGGTTTTATATTTTAATCATTCAAAACTTTGGTGTAAATGTGGGCATTTAGCACCTCCAAAATTCCCTTGCCCTTCCCAGAAGCCACCACTGTGAATTCCTGGTCAAGAGGTACCTGAAAGAGATAATGAAGGGGAGTAACGTAGTTATTGTACACGGCCTTTGTGATGGTGAAGTTGAAGTCATACGACCCTGGTGTGTTTAATATAGCCCATGTTTACGTTTTAACTTCTGCCAACTGTATTTAGGCTTCAAAATTCATAAAAGTTGTGTTCATTTGTGAATATCATCTTGATGAACTAAACATGTGAGAATCATAAACGTTTGTTGGTCACCAAGCTTTTTTTCTGCAATTATCCAAAAGCCAATGGAAAAATCCTATTGGGTTTTTGTCGGGGGAACCAGGGTGACTGGGACAGGGAGAGCACAGTATATTTGTGGGAGAGTGAAGGGAATCTGTGTGCTAGCTGATATATTTGTGCAGTATAATAACACCATATACATTTACAAAAACATACAGTTGTAATCAAAACTATTCAACCCCCATTGCAAATCAGGATTATTGGCAAAATGTACAGACTATCAGCTGTTTGCAATGAACAAATCAAACAAAATTGAAGCTCAACACAAATGTTTCAAGTGGTTTCCCTGAATTCAACTGAAAATGCCACTTTTAGTGACTTCTACAGTCTCGAAATTATTCAACCCCCTGAATAGAATCACTCACTACAGCACAGATCTTCAAAGCTTGTTGTCTGAAGCACACCTGATTAGTGTTGTCACGATACTAGAATTTCTAACTTCGATACGATACCTTGAAAAATATTGATATTCGATACCATTTTCGATACCACTGAGAAAAAACTGCCACAATATTAAGGGGGTATTTTTTTAATTTAAAGCTAAATATAACAAGTCTAGAACATGACAATGAGGTATTTTTACATGAACAAAAATGTCCTGAGTTCTATTTGTTTATATTTTTTAATTGGACCAGAGCTAACATGATGCATTTTTATTACCTATACTGTTATCAAAGATTAAAATATACTGTAACAAAAAAGCACTTAACAGTATCAAATTGGAGAATAGAGAGTCAGTAATGTATAATAATAAGATTAAACTTTAAATTTTCAGTTAAAGGCATGTCATTATTTAATTCAGAGATGCCATTGTCTAGCTGTTTAGTTTAATTAATATATGTGTAATCAAATTGATGATAATCGCTAATGAAGGAAAATTGCAGAATTAAATAATAATTTTTGAATAAAGTTAAATAGGCACCAGTTAATTTACATTTGACCACAGTTACAATATTTACTTGTCTAAGATTCCTCAGTCAGATTATGTTAACTTTAAGAATTAAAACGAGACAACACACAGACTCTTATCAACAACAATACTAGGCCATCTTGGTTAATGTTTCAGAAAAGTTAAAATGAGAAGAGTTACAGTGTTTCCTTGAGGATTTTTTTTAGCAGTGGGGGCAGGTCTGTCCAAACAACAAATACCCCTGATGCTGAGCATATGCTGTTAAATAGTAGCCTACCCCTGGAGCCTGTTCCTTAAGTCTGTTTTCACCTATACAATAATTTTAAAAAATGAGTGATGTGAGGGATTATTGATAGTCAAACAATCTGTTGGGTGCCCGCAGCCCGCTCGCGTGTCCGCGCTATTCTCCGACATGCCCGCTCGCGGTGTGTAGCTCGTGTCCGCGCTATTCTCCGACATGCCCGCTCGCGGTGTTCTTTATCAATGATGTTCTTTATCGCCCCTTCAACAATCAACCAAAGCCGGTCGCGGGGGCGCCGCCCTCGCCATCTTTCCATTCACTTCACTTTTGCTATTTAACCAGAGCGAATGAGACGAGTGCGTCACGTGTGGTGTTTGTCAACGCGCCTTTTGAGAGAAGTGAAAGTGACTGCTCGGCTAGTATCGATACTTCGGGAAATTAGTATTGGTACCGTTCAGATATTTCAGTATCGATATTTATCGAAATATCGATATTTTTGACAACACTACACCTGATGCAACTATTCAAGGGCTTCATTAGTTGCAACAGGTGTGTTTGAGCTAGAACACATGAAATATCTGAACTGACTAGGTTTGTTTAGTGTCACGTTTGACTGCATATTCGAAATCAAAAGAATGGTCCAAAAAGTTAAGAGAAGATATCATCGCCCTTCCCAAACAGGATACAAAAAGGTTGCGAAGGCACGTTCTAGTGACACAGTCGGAAGCTTAGTTTGCAAGTTCAAAGTTACACTGTCCTGGACGGGGCAGAAAAAGGAAGCTATCAACCGCTGCAACCAGATTTCTGAGAAGCCAGGTTCAGAAAAACCCTCGAGTGACTGCAAAAGACCTGCAGCAAGACTTGATGGCAACAGGCTCTGAGGTTTCAGCTGCACAGTAAGGCGCGTAAAATAAACGCATGCAGTTCCCATGCCAGAACTCCAAGGCCTACACCACTACTGACCCAAAATCGCAAGAAAAGTTGTCTCCAATTTTCTCAAAAGCATATAAATAAGCCACAGAGATTTTGAGAATTTATTCTGTGGAGCGATGAAGCAAAATTGGACCTTTTCGGCCCTCTGAATCAGCGGTATGTCTGGAGGAAGAAGAATGAAGCATATGCCTAAAAGAACACTCTGCCAACAGTTTAGCATGGTGGTGCTCTGCGGCTGCTTTATATCCTCTGGCACTGGAAACCTTTCTTGAAGCCCGTAGATTACCCCATAGAAAATCTCTGGTGGGATTTGAAGAAGGCAGTAGCAACACGCAAACCCAAGAATATTACTGAACTGGAGGCCGTTGCTCATGAGGAATGGGCTAAGATACCTCAGAAACGCGGCCAGAAGCTGGTGTCTGGTTGTAGCATCTTATTTTCAGCAGGTCATAACAGCAAAAGGGTGTTCTACTAAGTACTAAACATGCGTGCCATGAAGGGGTTGAATCATTTTTAGACTGCAGAAGTCATTAAAAGTTGCATTTTCAGTTGAATTTGGGGGAACCACACAACATTTGTTGTGTTGACCTATAATTACTTTTGTTTGATTTGTTCATTGCAAACAGCTGATAGGCTGTACATTTTGCCAAGAAACGTTTTGATTAAAACTGCAAAGGAGAGTTTGAAAGATATACTATCTCACCCGTGAAGATCGGGCCACGTAAGCAACTTTGGGATTGAAGGTCCAGCGTACGTCACTGCGACCGGGAACACTGAGTTGCACCAATAAATTGAGGTCAGTAGGAGGAGGGCTCTTCACGAGGTACTCAGAGAGGGCCTGTAGCACTACCATAGTAGACTGATGGGAGAAAACAGTCATTATATGAATAACCATGTACCTTAAATACAAATGTAAGCCAAGTAGTAAAGGTTTACACATGTTTTTTTTTACCTGAGTAGAGCCGTACCCTCCCCCAATGCCACGTTTCTCGCTCAGCCATTGAAAGGGGGCGGCTGCTTCTTCCATGTGGCCACTTTTGATAAGCGCTAACAATGCGTAGCCTGTAGCTTCCAGTGTGAAGAAATAATTATCAGAGTCAGGCCAGTGGGTACGATCTGTAGACAGAAAATAAAGAAAGATGAGAAAGACAAGACCACACAAAGCAATATATTTTATATTTTTGTTTTTAAAAGCTATGTACCAGGTGAGGCTAATTTTAGCAACATGCTCTTCATGCAACCGTGGTTGGAGACTGCTAAGGCGTAGCATGCTATAGCCGCTGTGTACGGCCTCGACAGCCGGGGGAAATGCTCTCTTATATACGTCGCTGCTTTTCTGGACTCGTCCTGCAATGATCGCAAGTAGAAAATACAATAAACACCATTAAACATGTCAAAACGTATGTTATTAAATTTCTGTTTTCTGGTTTGCCCGGAAGTACAACACGAATCAGTGTTGTACCTTTGTCTATTTACTTATATTTATTGGGCTTGGGAAATGTACTTCAGGAACTCAAGATGCTGAATAAGTGGGCGGTCACTGTTTCTGTTTTCTGATTGGTGGAGTTCCCTTTAGAACTGAAGGGAATGTACATTTAATGGCATCCTTTTCTTGTTTGTAAAATCAGTATGAAGCTGGCAAATATTTTCCTGCAAATGTCCAAATATATTATTAACTTCATTGTATTTTCATTATTGTACAATTTTATATTTATTTCATATATTGGAATAAACTTGGAAATATTTAATTTAGCTATTGTATTAATTATTATTGTATAATTTAATTTAGCTTTTGTCCTAATTATTACATTTAGATCATTTTCTAATTATTTAATTAAGGTATTGTCTTAATCATTTAATTTAGCTATTGTATTAATTATTATTATCGTATAATTTAATTTAGCTTTTGTACTACTTATGAAATATAGATATTGTTCTAATTATTTAATTCAGTTATTGTAATAATTATTTAGTTTAGCTTTTGTATTAATTCAGCTATAGTTGTAATTATTTAATTCAGCTATTGTATTAATTATTCTTATTGTATTATTTAATTTAGCTTTTGTACTAATTATTAAATTAAGATATTTTTCTAATTCAGCTATTGTGTCAATAATGTCATTTAACTGCTGTTTAATTCAGATGTTTTTAGCCGTTTTAAAGAGTGACGTTACCTGTATGTCAAGGCCTGGCTCTTGGCAGGTAACAGCGTTTTGTGCCTCTGCCAAAGCAATGAGCACGAATGCAGTCAGAGACACTCTGGATTCAGAGCCCCGCAGGCCCCCCTGCATCACAAAACATGTGTTAGCAAGTACTGTGAGAAAGCATTCAGATGACAGTGGTCCCCTTTTATAGATTATCATGAAACTAGTGCAATCACAGTTATTAATTCTCACCGTCATACTGGTGTCGTAGACAGGATTGTTCTCCTGAAAGGATCCATCTGGACTGTGTTTATTCTTGAGTAGGTACAGCAGAGGGCCACACAGATGCTTCTTATCGACACGGATAAACGAGTGTGCCATGGAGAACACCTTTACCACATATGCAGTGACCCTGAGATGGACAGAACATAAATACACATGAACTCTACTGGAAAACGTTCAATATAGTGCAGTAGTTTAAGCGAAGTGCTAGCATGAATACCATGTGCTGGTGCCTTCTTTGGCGTAGGGAGGGTACGAGTCATCCGTTTTCCGATAATTAAGTTGATTTTCGTAACCTATAAAAATAATAGAATAGAAATAATTGATCGTAATCATATCTGAAAGAATGCAGTTCATCCCTGTTTGTCTCTCATTGCACCTTTTTGTATGTATTTGATGGCCTCTTCTCTGCGACTTACTCCCACAACGGCCCAGTTTGCACTACGGTCCAAGTAATGGGCTGCAATGAGGGGCAGTGTGATGGTGGCCAGGTTCTGCTCCACACACCCGCCGGGCATGCGGATCAGAGATGCCAGCGAGTCCTCCTGAATGGAGTTATCAATGCTGTCTGCCAGCAAATCACCTAAAGAACAGATACAGATCAGTACAAAACTGGGGAACTCTTCACGTCAACTGTCAAGAATTTCCCAGTTTTGTTCATTCACATAAATGTCTATTATGCAATTGAGTGTTAATGCCATTTTCATAATATTGTGAATATTGCTTAATAAAATGTCAAACCTCTGACATTGACAAATGTCTCCGGCAGAGATTTCGGTACAACGGCGTCCAGCTGCATCTTCTCCACTTCTATCATCTGTCTCCCAGCTGAGACGAAGGAAATGCTTCATCATTTATTATAACAAAAATGTATAAACTAAATCATATAATGAATAAATTATTCAAATGAACATATACATTTTAATAATATATACTTTTCATGCATCAAGGCCCATTTATACTGTGTAAAACTTTTAAAAAGAAAAACTGAAGCGTGATTTTATAAAGAATTTTTTTGAGTTATAGATAATTATACTAAGTAGAACAGACCACAAATGCGCAGTATATGATGCATTTTTTTATACTGTTACAGCAGAATGCAAAGGAAAAAAAGAGCAGATATTCTTGTTATACCATGTCGCATTCAAATACCAAGCATGATGTTATTCCCCTGACGTCTGAAAATAGAACTAGAAAGAAATTGTACAGCTCTTTCAGTCAAACTGACAGATAAGCATTATATGTAGCGCAACCTTCTGATTGTAAGTTATTTGTTTCAGTCTTTTTGAGTGGAACTTCCCCAAACCAGAAGTGTCTCTCATAATCTAAAAGTAGGGCTCATTAGGAAAAAGGTGAATATGGACAAAAGTATTGAAACACACCTCTTAATGATTGAATTCAGGTGTTTCAGTCAGACCCATTGCTACATGTGTATAAAATCAAGCAGCTAGACAAACATTTGTGAAAGAGAGCTCAGTGAATTCAAGTGTGGCACTGTGATTGTATTAGTCAATCCTTGAATTAGTCAGTCCATTAAATTTCATCCTTGCTAGATATTCTAAGACCCATTTATATTGTGTAAAACTGCTACTGTAACAATTTTTTAAAAAGCGTGATTTTTAATTAAATGTTTTTTTGTGTTATTGCATTGATCATGAATAGTCTCATGATTTCCAACCAGTCTTACCACTGTCTCCTTTCCCAGTGGGGTTCAACACAAAACTCCTCACTTTAATTGTCTGGATGCCTTCTACCTAAAACACAAGATATAGCCTCATACTAAAAACACATAACATGTACGAACATATAAAATATGTTCAATATTACGTGTGTGAGACACAAGACAGAGCAGGATTTAGTAGCCCACTTACTACCACACGTAGATTCTTCCTCACTGCATCTTGCCCCATGAACGAGGCCGCAATGGCTGTGACCTGTAGGGGGAGCTCTCCTGTTTTGAGGGGGATGATAGTGTATGTAATGAGCTTGGAGGAGCCGGCCTGCACCGAAACCTGCTGTCTGTGGGGTCCGCTAAATGCCACACTACACATGTCCTCTGTCTTATCCAGGATCACCAGTACCTGCAAAACAGACAGTTGTTCAGGTCAGGTCACAGAGACGTTACAGTGGGAGTGTGGTAATCGTTTGGTGACGGTGTGAATCCAACCTCCAGTTTTGAGTCCCTGTAGTTGTGGACCACAGCTTTGATTTGCACATGTTCATTTCTGGACACTGAGTGAGGCAACCGCAGGTCTATGAAGAACGGCTGCCACGCTCGCACGTTATAAGGTTCAGCTACACAGAAACCTGCAAGAGGTTCACAAACCAGGAATAATCTCATTCTCAGGGACATTTTCACATTCGTTCTCAGAAATGTCTGATATGTAGCATGAAAAGCTGAATAGTAATTATTAAAATAGTCATGCAGGATTAAGAACTAAATAATTATTGTAAATGTATAATTCATATGCAGAAACATGTTACATGTAGCATTAAAACGTAAATAATTATTGATCAAATATTCTTAATTAATTTGACATGTAGCATGAAAAGCTAAAAAATAATGATTAAAATATTCATCATTCATATGAAAAGCTTGACATGTAGCAATAACGTTTGACGTGTTGTTCGAAATGTTTGACGTAGAACTAAAAGCTAAATAATTTTTAATACTCATAATTTATATGATGAAATACTTGACATGTAGCATGAAAAGTTAAATAGTAGTTATTGGAACGCTTTTCAGAGAAGATAAGCCAACGTTTTTTTTTTTTTTTTCATATAGCACAATTCACCCAACAGTTCAGGAAAATTCAGGAAAAAAAATCTCCGAATGCTCCACGTGAAACTTCGGTCTTCCTACCTTTTACCATCGTGTCAATTGATTTTGATAAAATATTCATAATACATTTGAAGTGCAGCATTAAAAGTGAAATAATTATTATTCAAATATTCAGAATTTAAATGAATATGCTTGGCATGTAGCATTAAAAGCGAAATAATACTTTTTAAATATTCATAATTTGTATGCAGAAATGCTAGGCATGTAGCATTAAAAGCTAAACATTATTATATTCGGAGATCATATGCAAAAACGTTTGACAGGTAGCATTAATAGTTAAGCAATTATTAAAATATCACATTCATATGGAGAAACTCTTGATATGTTATGTAGCTAAATAATAATAAAAATGATTAATAATATATCCATAATTCATATGCAGAAATGCTTGTCTTGTAGCATTACAAGCTAAATATTAATTATTAATACATTCCAAATTCATGTGCAGAAATGGCTCATATAGCATTAAAATCTAATAAAAATATCATTATTAATATCTTTTCATTGTAATTATTCATCTCTCACTATGGCAGATCTAAAAGCATATAAAGGAGCTCTGCCCAGACAAACAGATGCTTCAGACAAGATCAGGAATGTTTACCCTTCTCAGGTGAGGCACTGACGGCTAGAAACCCCCACTGAGTGATACTGTCAGGAAGAACCGTGTCCACTGAAAACACAGCCAGCCTGGAATAACAGATACACTTCATCAATGAACATGATAAAAGTGGGACTTCTTCACCGAGTCAAGGTCAAACTCTTACCCGTCAGACTTGGGTACGCTGGGCAGTCTGATGTCAGTCCACAGCCACGACTCGAAGAACTTGGTGCGCACGTAAATGTCTTCTATGTCAGCTAAATCATCTTCATTGAACTCTTGCTCCTCCTCCTCCTCCTCCACCTTCTCTTTCATCCTTTCAACATGACTCTCCATGCGTCCTCCTGCCAACCCAATTAGGACGGGAGATCCGAGGGCAACAAATCGGGAAACCTCAACGCGATCTGAAAAACTGGACCCGGTCAAATAATCTCTAAAGGTCTCTTCCCTAATAAGCATAGGTAAAATACGGAGGTGGGAGGTGGTGGGTGTAGGGGTGGTGGTTGGTGGAAGGGTGGTCGTCGGGGGCCTGGTAACGACACCAAGCTCCTCCCCTCTGTACTGTGCGCAACAGTGGAGGAAAGCTAACACGCAGCTCCAGTCCTCGGTGATGTAGAGGGAGCGGCGGTAGCACGAATAGGGCATGGGAATCTCCCGCATGCCGTCCACACAACATCTCTGCAGGAACTCGTCAGAATATACCTTCTCTGAGAGAAAAGAACGTGTTTAGGCAGGGTGACCTAGCGCATTAGCTCGACTCGCTCATTTTGGCTAGCGCTTTTGCTAACACTTTCATATCTTTCATATTTAACAAACTGTAAAATACAAAACTTTTTAAAGATTTGATGCACAGATGACAGCGACTCACCCAGCTGCTCTTTGAGCTGCAGTTTGGCAGCCGAACGTCTTCTTCTAGATTTACTGGAGCAATCTGTTCCAAACAAACCACAGAAAATACACTCTTAAAAATAAAGGTTCTTTATTGGCACCCGTGGTCCCATGAAGAACCTTTAACATCGATGGAACCTTTCCATTCCACTAAAGGTTCTTGATAGTGGAAAAAAGATTGAAAAAAAAAAGGGTTTAAGAACTGTTCACTGAAAGGTTCTTTGGGGAACCAAAAATGGTTCTTCTATGGCATCGCTGTGAAACCAAGATGGCGAATGGGACTTGGATGCTGAAGGTCAAGTTCACCCTAAAGAGCATCTCATCGTAATACCAATGGTATTTGGTATTATTGCCATAATGTTACTTTACCATTAATACATTACTGTGTTGAAGTCCCCCGGTAGTCAATAATTGTATCCCTTAAAACTCATCGTTGATCACCAAAATAAAAATTGTAAAAAAAAAATCCTTGAAAACAAAAACAATACTTCATGCCTTAAAGCAGCACTAGGTAACTTTTCAACCTTCATAATATACTTCCAAGTCTCTTGTGATGGTACATCGACTTACAATACGTTAAATGACACGTCTGCCATATCCTGACGGGGTCTGTAGCGTTTTTAATCGTACTTTTAAACTTCGGGTTTCGGGTAGTAACCGGCGAACAAAGAGAACTACAAAATTCGACTCCTTTACGGCATATACGTCACTTCCACCACCACTTCCTTAAAATCAGACGTGCGAGCCAAATGTTATAGTCATGGCCGAAGCAGCACAGAAAAACAAGAAAGCAAAGGTTTTATCGGAGCAAAGCAAAAAGAGAAAAAGAGAAAGTGATCGCGTTAAAGGCAGAATTAGGATTAACATTGGGCCAGCATTTTCTCGCTGGCGTGAGCTGAAGGAGGAGGAGGGGTGCCCGACCGATGCGGACTTGGCAAAAAAAAAATCAAAAATCAAATGAAAGCCTATGTCTAAACGGCGTGCACAAGTTTGGTAGGGGCTACATTCTTGCAAGTAAATATATAAGATGTACAAAATCATATTTTAGGATACCTAACATGTCTGTGATATTTGTTTATTTGTCTTGCCTCAAGCTATAATGCAAATCGATTTGTAAAATTTGCAGATTCATTTATGGTAGCTTGATATTATAATATTGACGATATATGGTTATTATCAACCACTCAAACATTGCATTGAAGTATCATATAGATTCAGTAAAACGGTAACCAATAGACTAGGCTACTATAATGACACTGGCTTGTAAACGTGATCATCGCGATCATTTGTCGTTAGAAAAAAAAATAAAACCCATGAAATTATATTCATATGACATGCTGAAATATATGCCACTGTACCTGGGATGAAGACATTTCACACGCGACGCAAGCAGAACACCTGCATCATGTGACCTCCTCCTACAGTGTTCAGGGCTATCATGGTTGTCAACAATTGCACGTGCATGTAGGATGACAGAGTTTACGACAGTAGTAGAGGTCTAGAGGACAATACTGTTTCCCAACTGTAGGGGGACCCCACCCCGAGAGCAAAAGTAACCTGGTGTTACTTTAAAATAGCTTGAATGTAACTACACCCTTGCCTCATTTAGTATACGCGGTTCTATGAATATGAAAAATAGCCCCGCCTCCACTCACTCACACCAGCTCAGAGATCCACATTGACCAGATTGGTTACAAGGTAGTTTGTGACGTCAGAAACACCAGCGATTTCAAACCGCGCTTTTGAGACCGTCTTTGGTTCACTGCAGTTTTAAGGAGAAAATACTCAGCAATGGTTTTGACAAATGAATTTGCACGTTTTTTTCTTAAAGTCCCACTCCGATCATATTTTGAGCTATTTTTAAACATTCCCAGTGGTCTTTAAATTATGATTATGCCATTTTTAGCCAAAATCACAAAACCTGTGCCGTTTTCTGGGACTTCGCTTCAGCAGAGCGGCAGTAGCTCATTAACAATTCGCCTCTGCGTTGTGGGCGGAGCCGTTGGCACGGAGACGACCCTCCCCCTGCCCGTTGCTGAGAGCTCTGTCTCTCCCGCTAGCTTACACCCCCAATACCGGTGGGGCAACAGTATTATATACACGTTAATTATTATTATCCGAAGTTAATCAAAGTTATCACCGATCACCGATCATTATTTCACTCCAAGACGTCGCGTGTGGAGACGCCCAGTGGAGTTACTACGTCACAACTCCAGTCTATTTTAGCCGGCATTTTAACGTCTGCTACTGATTCACAGCCATTTGAATGTAGAAATACTCAGAAATACAACTTTGAGCTTATTTTTCTCAAGATATGTCCTCTAACAACAGAAAAATGCCACAAGAACATGTTAACACCTAGAAAAACATTATTTTCATCGGAGTGGGTCTTTAAAGCATATTAAAAACACCACATAGACATATAAACAACATTAAAAGCTTGATTTTCATCACAGGGGGACTTTAACTATAGGCAAGATTTTTGAAAGGCTGCATAGCAACTGTTGTCTCAAAATGACTGTCAATACAGTATTTGTCCTGCATTTTTAATTAGACATTTGGTTGCACTTTATTTGACTGTGAGTGCACTTACGTGTAGGTGCAACAGGTCTGTAAAAGTGCTACCATACATTTAGTTTAGATAGAAATTAAAAGTGTGCCATTTTTGGCCAATTTTGTATTCTTGCTGTCCTCATTATCTTTGCCAAATTCTGAAGCTTTGGACTTGTTTTATAAATAGAACCGTTCAAAAGTTTGGGGTCAGTAGTATTTGAAAGAAATGAATACTTTAATTCATCAAGGAAGCATTAAATTGATCAAAAGGGACAGCAAAGACATTTAAAATGCTACAAAAGATTCCTATTCATAATAGATACTATCGTGGTTTCCAATTTAATTTTTTTTTTTTTTTATATGTTCCAATCTTTGAATGGTAGTGTAATGACATTTACTCCAGTGCAATTAATTAGATGTTAATGCTGTGTGTGTGAAGGACCTTTTTTGTAGTCAGTGGATCTTCCTGTGCTGGAATAAAACATCAGTCCTGCATCACTGAATACACCCATATTATTCTTGCCTCCTCCTGAGGTGCAGCCCATATCACCCTGTCCCACCACCTCCCACACCTGAATGAAAGAGTCATGAGTGTCAGTGAGGCCCTGGAGAAGGTTCTGGAGAGTGCAGTGAAAATTACATCATCACTCACCTTCTTCTGTGTCAGGCGGTTTTTACTCAACAGAAAGACGGCGTTATCCACCGCAACCAGGCTGACCTTTGCTCCCGGGTCACCTTTCACGTCAAATTTAAAGCTGCTGCCTGGTGAGTAGGAATTGTGTTTTTCTCCCTTCACTGGTCCTACACTGAGCTAAAACAATCATAAAAACACTCAAATGAAATAATGCACTCATAAATAAACGAATGTAAGCAACTATTATGGCATTAAACTTATATGGCCTTTTTTTGGGACAAAGTAACCTCTTAAAGGTGCACTGTGTAATTTTTAGTGGCATCTAGTGGTGAGGATGCGAATTGCAACAAACAGAAGTTACACCGTAACTTCTGTTTGTTGCAATTCGCATCCTCACCGACAGGAAAAGATTTTGTCGTCTGAGACAGCAGAGAGTAGCAAAGATAAATTACAAAGATAAATTAAGAAATTAGGTTTACTTCATTATTCAGTAAAACAATGTTATTGTGAATATTATTGTTACTTGTTCATCATTGTGTCAGTGTTTTATTCGCTGACTTTAGCTAGCTTCTTTGCATGAAGAACAACATAGTGACGAAACGAACGCGTTTGTCCGTTTAGGGCTCCTGTAGAAACATGTCGATGTAAGAGGACCCGCGGTGTATGTTGATAGAAATGACTCATTCTACGGTAATTAAAACATAACGGTTCATTAAGTAAGGTCTTTATACACCACTGATAACATAGTTATGTATATGATATTGCATTTCTGTTAACAGATTCTCCTAAATATTACACAATGCACCTTTAAGTGGTTTAAAAGCCAAAGCAGAATTACTTACATTATTGAAAAATAGGCGAAAAGTGCTAGAATCATGCAATGTTAATCATTTCTTATGAACGCCACATGAACTCACCGAACCCACACACCGGTCCTCCACATCAACAAACACAGAGTCTGCCACCACTTCCGCATTAGATATCCATGGCAAAATGTAGTACGCCACAATCCGAAAGGAAGGTAGCATTTCTGCGGTAACCAGCAGAGGAATGTTTATGACAGCCAGGTCTTTGACATTCACTCTCCCGGCATGGATTATATTTCCCTTGTTTAACACCTATAGAAACAATTGTAAGTGTAATCAATACCAAGATTGCAGTCATTTTCATCTTAAAATGCCTCAAGTGTCATACTCACGGCATACGTCAGCTGCTCCACAAGCTTTTTTTGATTTGGTGGGGATTTGATGTGCGCTTGGACGTTGAGTCCATCGCCCACCGCCACTTTATTGAGACCCACTGAGATATGCAGGAAGTTCCTGTGGCCGGAAAAAGGGGCATATGGCTCCACATGCACTTCTAAAACAGCCTGCTGTTCTGGTCTCAGCGAAGGATTCGCTGTCTCCACCTACACATGAATACGTCAATCATGACAACTCTCTGGGTAGTTTTGTCAGGTTAATGAATGCAACAATGTAAATGTATTTGGTCTTGGCGGACTAGATCTGCTACACTGCTGCTGCAGAGCAAGTATGGACTTGCTACTGCTAATAGATACACAAACACGCTGCAGTTAGCGTAAGATATGCTGCTGCTGCTGCATAAATCGACATACATCGATCCGGTAGCAGATCTAGGCAGGTGGAGCTGGGGGAGGTGGAGGGGTTCAGAGGAACTCTGATAGCACACCGCAGGATTAGCTTACAGGAAACACTGAACCAGACTATTTAAATGTTGAGCAAGCAATCTCATTGGCTGTAGGATCAGCAGAGGCCAATCAGCTTGTGCCATTCAGTAATGATGTGATAGCTTGCAGATTGCATGTAAAGGAATATGCCCTGTATGTATGTATATATATATATATATATATATAAGGGGTGTAGCGATACACGTATTCCTATTGAACCGTTCGGTACGAGGCTTTCGGTTCGGTACGCATTACAAACCGAGCGATTAGTTGGACTGTTTTTTCTGCCTGTACAACCAAAATTTAGTTAGCAGTCGCGCTGGCGCGACCACCACAACGTTGCCCAACATCAAGTATTAACCGTAGATCTCTATTAGATCACAGAAAAAAACCAGGAGAAACATTGTGCCATGAACTAACTAGTTATAGGTTTTAAGTCCACAAATCAGCAACATTCACCATGGATTTAATGTAGTAACACTAACTGTAACCATGAAAGTTTGGCAGGAATAGTAAAATGCTTTTCCAGCACTTCAAAACTCAAATATTATCCTATTTAAATGTTATTTTTAATGTGGTGACCAAAACATTATTTGTTCATCCTTCAAAGATTACCCCCATTTATAAAACTAAAAGTTTCAAGATGTACTGTAGGAAAACAGAAAATAAAAAAGACTTTAAAATTAGCATTGTAACCAGTAGGTGGCTGCCATTTCCACTCCCAAATATTTATTTTTTAGTCGTTTTGCTTTTGAATTATTTCAACATTATGAATAAAAATGTAAAAAATTATGAATGTATAATGCATTGTAATTTCTGTAAGTTAAGTCTATTTATTAGACATTTGTCAGTAATAATCAAACTAATAAAAATGGGGGGAAATGTGAATAACTGCGCTGCAGATTGATTTAAGGTGTGCCCCTAAAATTTCTCCATGTGCGTGTAAAATTTTGTGTAAAATTCAGTGAGAATACTTCAAACATGTCAACTCATTTACGCCGACATCACCCCAGTGTGTCAATAACTGGAACTAGACACTCTCATCTTATCCGGAAAGAAAATTTGTACAAATTGAGTAAAAGCACACTGAGTTCCATATAAAAACTAAATTGTTTTCTTTGTATTTGTTTATAACTACTACAATATTCCATTTCATTCTTTTATAAGGAGCTGTTTTTGTTTTATATGCTGCTAAGAAGACACCCCAGTATAGCTCAAGTATAGCTCCATCATTGTTCAAAGTAAAAAAAAATCATAGCTTATGATGTTAGTTTTAATAAATAAATTAAAAATCAAGGAAATTTCTCTGGCATTTCTTTTTTTGTTGTATCGAAAACCGAACTGTGACACCACTGTGTCGTATCGAACCGAACCTTGAATTTTGTGAACCGTTACACCCCTAATATATATATATATATATATATATATATATATATACAAATTCAGCTCACGGTTAAATACAATTTTTTATATTGTTTCTATTGTGCGTGTATGTTTTTTCTGTGATTGACTTACTTTCAGTATCTGTGATTCACCAAATGACCTGGCCGTGTTAGGCATGTTGATGTAGACTTGGATGATGCCGTGGTGATCACTGATTGGGCTTTCAAGAAAACTGATTTTAACAGGAATATTAGGGGCTGGAGAGCCGTCATGGTTACTCACTGTAACCTAAGCAACAAAATACAAACTAATTTGAAATAATGCTACCATCATCTGCTAAAATCAACAATCCTATCATAAAATCAGATTAAAGGGATAGTTCACCCAGAAATGACAATTTTGTCATCATTTACTTGTCATAGCTCCTAATATTATTTTAGAAGGAAGCTAAAAAGAAATTAAACAAAAGCACATAAAATTACTAAAACTTTAAATAAAATTTTTAAAAAAACGTGAAAATATACAAATAAAACCTTTTCAAGATAATAATAGACACCATAATAGTAGTATATAAATAACAGTAGAATAACACTTTTACACATATTGCTTGTATTATATATTTAGTTCCCAAGGAATTTCTAATTTTACGTTTTTTTTATATATATATATACAGTAGGCCTACTGTGTGTATATATATATATATATATATTTTTTTTTTTTTTTACTTAAAGTTAGAAATGGCTTGGGAATTAACTGAAATGAAAGAAGTTAACTAAAATTAACAATAACAATAAATTAAATATTAATATACAATAACCAAATATATATATTTTTTTAATAGATACTAGAAATGACAAATACACATAGCAAAACTACTAAAACTTAAATTAAAACATAAAAGTGAAAGCTAACTCAAAATATGAACAAATACTCGAAATAATACTAAAATTAAACTGCTATTGAGTTCTTTGTAGAGCCTGACAGCCCGTGCGCACCGTCCAGGGTAAGGAACAGAGCAGCTTGGGCATTCTGCTCAATCAAACCGGTATGACATGACGTGAAGGGTAAACTATCCTTTGAAGCAGTAAAAGTTGCAAAAGAAATTCAATTACCGTCATGCCAAATGGCAGGCCAGGTTTGAAATACTTTGGTGTGTCCCTGATGGAGAGCATGTAGGGTGATATTACTATTTTAATGCCGGATTTCTCTGCTTCCACAAGGTCGCTACCTGAGAAGAAAGTCTTAAGATGTAAGAGTGTTTTCAGAGAAGAAAACTGAGGCAAACGCTGATATTTTCTGATTTCCCCACCTGTGCTGGTCATTACTGACGCTTTGACGTACACAGAAGACCCCACTAGGCTGTTTGTGTCAGGATAGGCCCTCTTTATCTCCTCCATAGTCAAACTAACAATTCCTCCATTCAGCTGCAATTTATAAAACATAGATTACAAAAGTCTCTTTCTACAAAGCTGATTTAATGTTTAAGATAAAGATACTTAAAGTGAAGTTTTTTTTTTCTTGTTTAACCACTTACATCGTTCAGTTGCTTCATAGATGTGAGTCTCTTCTTCTCACCGTTTATTTCAATACCAAACAGCACATATGCAACACCTTGCACTGGTTCACCATAAAGATACCTGGAAGAAATATATACAGTGACCTCAAGGTTTTTGGCAACTTATGAATGTATGAATTCAATACACTATTGTTCAAAAATTTGGGGTCAGTAAGATTTTGTAATGCTTTTGAAAAAAAGTCTTATTCTCACCAAGGCTGCATTTATTCAATAAAAAATATGGTAACACATTATGAAATATTACAACAATTTAAAATAACTTTTATATTTGAATATATTGAACGATATAACAATGTTACTTCACGAATGCTAAATGCATCCAGATCATTCAGAGTAGTTTGATTCACACACCTGGCTGTTATTTCTACTTCCAGCTTATCTGCATCTAGACCGAGGTGGGACGTCTTTGGAGTCAAAGTGACATTGAATGCTGGGAGCACTTGGGAGCAAGAAAAATGGCGTTAACCCACCGACAGAGGAAAAAAATAAAAATTAGAATCTGAAGATTATATGAATTGCTTACCGTATTTCTTTACTTCAAACTCTCTGCTGAAAATGTTCTCTTTTCCCTGATCAAACTTTGCAACTACTTTCCACTTGCCCTCTCTAGAAAATCAAAAAGATCAGCAGCTACACGAGTACAAGGTAAATAAAATGTATTATAATAATATTCATATATAATATTAAATATAAATTACATTATTTTATGATCTTATATTTTAATAAAAAATATATATAGTGATTTAAAATATTTCATATATAATTAATTATAAAATAATCAAATATATAATTTGAGATATATAATGATTATATATAAATATATTGTGTATGCAAATATATGTATATACAGGTCCTTCTCAAAAAATTAGCATATTGTGATAAAGTTCATTATTTTCCACAATGTAATGATAAAAATTAAACTTTCATATATTTTAGATTCATTGCACACCAACTGAAATATTTCAGGTCTTTTATTGTTTTAATACTGATGATTTTGGCATACAGCTCATGAAAACCCAAAATTCCTGTCTCAAAAAATTAGCATATCATGAAAAGGGTCTCTAAACGAGCTATTAACCTAATCATCTGAATCAACTAATTAACTCTAAACACCTGCAAAAGATTCCTGAGGCTTTTAAAAACTCCCAGCCTGTTTCATTACTCAAAACCGCAATCATGGGTAAGACTGCCGACCTGACTGCTGTCCAGAAGGCCATCATTGACACCCTCAAGCAAGAGGGTAAGACAGAAAGAAATTTCTGAACAAATAGGCTGTTCCCAGAGTGCTGTATCAAGGCACCTCAGTGGGAAGTCTGTGGGAAGGAAAAAGTGTGGCAAAAAACGCTGCACAACGAGAAGAGGTGACCGGACCCCGAGGAAGATTGTGGAGAAGGACCGATTCCAGACCTTGGGGGACCTGCGGAAGCAGTTGACTGAGCCTGGAGTAGAAACATCCAGAGCCACCGTGCACAGGCTTGTGCAGGAAATGGGCTACAGGTGCCGCATTCCCCAGGTCAAGCCACTTTTGAACCAGAAACAGCGGCAGAAGCGCCTGACCTGGGCTACAGAGAAGCAGCACTGGACTGTTGCTCAGTTTTGCATGTCATTCGGAAATCAAGGTGCCAGAGTCTGGAGGAAGACTGGAGAGAAGGAAATGCCAAAATGCCTGAAGTCCAGTGTCAAGTACCCACAGTCAGTGATGGTCTGGGGTGCCATGCCATGTGTTTTATCAAGGGCAGGGTCAATGCAGCTAGCTATCAGGAGATTTTGGAGCACTTCATGCTTCCATCTGCTGAAAAGCTTTATGGAGATGAAGATTTCATTTTTCAGCACGACCTGGCACCAGCTCACAGTGCCAAAACCACTGGTAAATGGTTTACTGACCATGGTATTACTGTGCTCAATTGGCCTGCTAACTCTCCTGACCTGAACCCCATAGAGAATCTGTGGGATATTGTGAAGAGAAAGTTGAGAGACGCAAGACCCAACACTCTGGATGAGCTTAAGGCCGCTATCGAAGCATCCTGGGCCTCCATAACACCTCAGCAGTGCCACAGGCTGATTGCCTCCATGCCACGCCGCATTGAAGCAGTCATTTCTGCAAAAGGATTCCCGACCAAGTATTGACTATTGAGTGCATAACTGAACATAATTATTTGAAGGTTGACTTTTTTTTGTTGCATTAAAAACACTTCTTTTATTGGTCGGATGAAATATGCTAATTTTTTGAGACAGGAATTTTGGGTTTTCATGAGCTGTATGCCAAAATCATCAGTATTAAAACAATAAAAGACCTGAAATATTTCAGTTGGTGTGCAATGAATCTAAAATATATGAAAGTTTAATTTTTATCATTACATTATGGAAAATAATTAACTTTATCACAATATGCTAATTTTTTGAGAAGGACCTGTATATATAGCAATTTAAAATATTCAATGTTTAATTAATTATAAATCAGAGATAATTGCATTTAAACACCCAAACTAATTGTGTAATTATACTATAAACCACAAATGAACAGTTCTGTATGCATACTTGACTACAGTGGAGAGGAGGTAGGTGTCAGATAGTATCCCATCTATTGATTTGGCTCTGGACATACCATGTACTGCAATACCATCTGGATTCTGAAACGAGCCAATTGAGCCATAAAACATTGTTGCATAAAAATAAACTGTTGCCTTGCAAACTGTAGTGACGCTTATGCCAATGCCAACGACAGTCACCTGAATCTCAAGAGATATGGTTCTCTCGGAAGCACGGAATTCTGAATCAGATACAAAAGCCCTGCAACGCACTGGAAAATTCCGGAATGATCAAGGAAAAGAAGATTGAACAATGCATTAATAGGTATTATCAATGTGCTCGACAGCATGTGAGAGCTGACCTGCATCTCCAGGGTTGTAAACAGGTTTATCAGTCTGAATGAAGATGTGTCCAGTGCGGAACGACACTGCTATTACTTCTTCTGCACGATGGAAGGGGCCGAACTGAGCAACCAGCTTCACATACTTCTTCTTTCCATCTGGACGTAGCACATTTGGATCAATCTGGCAAAAGACAGTATTTTATTACATTTAGGTTCAGCAAGCAACATGAGCAATGTCTCAAACAAATGAGAACTTTAACAAACCAAGTTTAAACCAACCAAGATCAAACACATTCATACATAAATTCACCTCAATGGTCTTGAGGGCGCTGTAGTTGTTGTCTGACTTGAGGATAACTGAGTCCTGCAAATAGACAGTTTCGGAGACTGGAAAGTCATAGACCTGGATAGTGACTTTTAGTAACTGGTGCATATTCTGACCCTCTATCAGGATGTTCTGTTTTGTTCCAGGCCTTATCTTTGCTGGAGCTAGAATAGAAAACCTAAACCGAAACATACACATCCAAGCATAACTTCGATGGGAAACATGTTTACAATTTCCACATTAAGATATATTTTGAATGATTTTGTTTTTGTGGTAAAACAAAGTCAAAAATGTCAACGTGGTCTAACCTAAAAGAAAAGAAAATATTATGAATAGCCTGGCGTTCTAAAAGAATAATTCTAAACTAAAAAAGGGAAAAAAGAGAAAAGTGTTACAGTGTACATGTTAACCAACTCTAAGGTCAGAAGACAGTTGTGTACTTACGTCGGAGACGGGTCAATAAACTGGTCACTGTCAACACACAACACACTCACTTAGCCTACAGATAAACCAACAAAATATAGGCCTACAACAAAATTGCAAATTGTTACATTCAACAAAAATCAATAGGCCTACTGAGAATTTGATATCCATGAACATTTTTCACAAAATTCTCTCAGAAGCACAAAATACACAACACACAAAAAAGATATACGTACACTATTTGCATAGAAGGTCCCCAAACTGTCCTCTTGCTGTTCAATTGACAAGATAAACACACTATAAATCAAATTCGTCAAGACGAGGAGAACATTTACACATTATTAAACGTTATTAATATAATATTAAACGCACTGTCTTTGAGAGGAAGGCTGGCCGTCGGAGATGTGACAGAGCAAAGTCGTCCATAACAGCAGTGGAAGGAGCATATCGTCCTGTAGGACTGAGTGACAACTCACAAATTGTCAGAAACATCAACGAGAGAGCTGTAATAATACCCCAAAATCCCTCCCACTAAACCAGACCACTGCTATCTCCAAACGTTGAGAAACTCTTGTGTAATGTTTGCTTTATTCTAAGCACCAGCCAGGTATCTGACAAATATACACATAGTCAACATACAGCCTTCAGCATTAGAAACATCTCGAACTCAAAACACTGCCAAACAAAATGTTATTAAAAGTAGATTTTTATATTTTCTCAGTAAAATTTGTGGAAAGGTGCATATCACGAATGATGCGGTGTTCTATTGTAGCTTGTGCTTTCTCATGGTTGTCGCAAGGGGGCGCTATTGCGGAAATTAGTGTGAATGTAATTTCCCTTAAATCAAGAACTACTGTCAGTTTGAAGAGAATCTTCCTGATCATGTAATTTAAAGTCAACATTTTAACAGCAACTTACCTGAATAATAAGCCATTTCTTTCCACAAAGAAATGCAAACCCCACCCAGCAGCCAATTCTAAAGATTTCATTGGTTATTTCAGAGTGCTGATTGCATACACAAGGCCGAAACAAATACTAACTCTGTGACCGTACCCTAAACTCAACCTTAACCTTGAAATGTGTTGCAAGCAAATTCTGATAAATAGATAGATGACATTACCGTTTGTCGAGATCGAATTCCATCTGGATATTCCTAGTATGTAGTCAGTAAAAACAGTATGTGAAAAGAGTAGTATATTCGACTTACAGTAGGCAAAAATTACACGGATAATAATAATAATAATACATTTTATTTGTAATGCGCCTTTCTCAGACTCAAAGCCCTAGGATGACCTAGGCCTACTACTTACGAGATTCTGAAGTGTGCATTTGATGGACATATTTTACTATTTACTATTCACACAATGATCATCATTCTCTCTTTTGAGTAGTAAATACTTATTTTGAGTAAGTCATCAATTTAAATGCAAGAGGCATCTTAATGCAACTCTATCGCCCCCTTGGGGTCGTTACCGTCGTGTTTGCTGTGAGCAAATCAATAAACTAAGTTCAATTCTCAATGTTTGACATTTGGGGGGAAAAAATAACCAAACAAACCCTGACACACTTTTCAGTATGGGAGAGTTTATTTTTTGGTAAATAATGACTAATTGTTGACCACAAGAAGACTGACACATGTATGAATCACGGCGGGGTTCTAATTTCAATTTCCGATCTTTTTCAGACCTCACTGCCCGAGTCAGAGTCGCTGTAATCTGCAACCAGAGACTTTCCAGCACACGAGTCAATGGTGTTGTCCTCCTCTGATGTGGTTCCTTCACCAGTCTCTGTAGTGCAGCTGTGAGTATTTGTGTCCTTGCTCGCATTCACATTATTTGTGAGAGGAGAAGATGAGTCCCTGGGGTTTATGTCCACAGCTGCTGGGTTAGTGTCAGGAGACGACGAGTTGGAGTTCATAATGTTGGCGCTTTCAGTCTTGCCATTTTCGGACTTCCTGCGTACCAGAATGTGTGGGCTGGGAATAGTCGAGCTGAGTGCTTTAGCCATGGCTGCTCCTCGACCCTGTTGGCCTAACTTTAGCAAGAGGCTCCCGGCAGCTCCCCCTCCCGCTGAAGACGAGGCACTGAACCAGGAACGAGTCGATATCTGTTTCCTTTTCGACTGCTGACCCTCATCATATGCTGGAAGAGAAAAAGATTTATCCAGATCAATATATGTATAGATTTATTCATTATAAGCAATAAAAGATGAACAAAAAGAGTAACAAATAGTCAAATAAATTAAAAGATTAATATATATACATATAAAAAATCTAATTAAACAGATAAATACATAGATTTTTGACTTGAAAAGAGAGCAGATTCGTTAAACAATAAATACATGGAAGTAAATGGAAAGGTCAGACTCACAGTCTGGACTCTGAAGGGTGAGTAGTGAGGCTAGCTTCTTATCTTCTTCTCTCTCCGGTAATAACGGGATGGACAGGCCAGTCCTCATTCGCACCGCATTGTCTTTTTCCACCTCCTCGGCAATCACTTTCTTCTCGGACTGTATTTGCAAACCAGGAATAGATTAACGTGCAAATCTTTCATGGCAGATGCATATCTGATGCAGCGGGCAACGTGTAACCCACCCTGAACTTCCTGCGGAGGACGCTGTTCAGTTGAAAATCATCTTTCCAGCTGGACTGGTGATCTTGAAGCTCATTGAGAGACGGGATGGCGGCACGTAGCTTTTCCTTATCCTTTCCTCCGTGATCTAATTTATACATGGCATCTGTCTCCAGCTTCTCTTTCTCACTGTGCTCTATAGGGGACAACAGCACACTGAGCCGAAATATCTTGATGACTCATACAAATAACTGTAATTAATTACTCAAATGTCTTTTTCTTCATATCAATATTAAAATATTTGTAATAAATAATATTGAAAATATGGGTGGACGAACAGATAGACAGAAAGACTGCTATGCTTTTGCAATATAGACATAAGAATAGATTAGCTCATAGACAGAGATGGACGGACAGACAGATCGAGAGACAGACAGACAGACAGACAGACAGATAGATAGATAGATAGATAGATAGATAGATAGATAGATAGATAGATAGATAGATAGATAGATAGATAGATAGATAGATAGATAGATATGGACGGACAGACAGATCGAGAGACAGACATACAGATAGACAGACAGATAGATAGATAGACAGACGGATCGAGAGACAGACAGACAGACAGACAGATAGATAGAGATGGACGGACAGACAGACAGACAGACAGACAGACAGACAGACAGACATACAGATAGATAGATAGATAGATAGATAGATAGATAGATAGATAGATAGATAGATAGATAGATAGATAGATAGATAGATAGATAGATAGATAGATAGATAGATAGATAGACAGACAGACAGACAGACAGACAGACAGACAGACAGACAGACAGATAGACAGATAGATAGAGAGACAGACATACAGTTAGACAGACAGATAGACAGATAGATAGATAGATAGATAGATAGATAGATAGATAGATAGATAGATAGATAGATAGATAGATAGATAGATAGATAGATAGATAGACAGACAGACAGACAGACAGACAGACAGACAGACAGACAGATAGACAGATAGATAGATAGATAGATAGATAGATAGATAGATAGATAGATAGATAGACAGACAGACAGACAGACAGACAGACAGACAGACAGACAGACAGACAGATAGATAGATAGATAGATAGATAGATAGATAGATAGATAGATAGATAGATAGATAGATAGATAGATAGATAGACAGACAGACAGACAGACAGACAGACAGACAGACAGACAGACAGACAGATAGACAGATAGATAGAGAGACAGACATACAGTTAGACAGACAGATAGACAGATAGATAGATAGATAGATAGATAGATAGATAGATAGATAGATAGATAGATAGATAGATAGATAGATAGATAGATAGATAGATAGATAGATAGATAGATAGATAGATAGATAGAGATGGACGGACAGACAGATAGAGATGGACGGACAGACAGATCGAGAGACAGACAGACAGACAGACAGATAGATAGATATTTAAATGATATTTTTTGACAGTTGGAGTATGAAAAGTCTTGACTCATTATTCTTCTATAATAATAATAATAATAAACGTGTTTCGCACCAGTAGTGAGTATCTGCTCATTCTCAGCCATGTCCCATCTTTCTTCCTTCCTTTGGGCTCCAGTCACAATGACATAATCACAGGTGGCCGGGTCTGTCTGCATCTCTATGTAGTTCACACACAGATGGCACTTCATCTTGAACCTGTGGTACACACAAACCTACAGGTTAACACATGCTGCCTCGTGACATACGAAACTGAACAGTAAGAGATCAGACGGCATATCACCTGTATATCGGAGTTGTGTAGTAATTTCCCACTTTCGACTTCTCTGCATTGTATCGAACCCCTTTAAAGACAAAACGAATTAGACATCCTTTTAGACAAAATATCTATGATCAGAATGAAATATTGAGTCAAGAAGAAATCCTGGTAAATTCATCACACTAGAAATAGAAAATTAAGTTGGAGAGGACTGCATTGAGAAAAACTATGTACAATTTACATACTATATACTACAGAAATAGTACGAGTAGTAAAGCGTTATGCACAACTTCAGAGTCGTACCCATGCCGATATGATTCTTACAGCCATCGCACCAAATATTATAGGGCATCTCAAATCTGTAAACACAAAACAGGCAATCATCACATCATGTGAATCAAAAAACAGTGACAGATACTGTTTAATGAAAATGTGTATTACCGGATGATGAGGATGCCCTGAGACAGTTTCCTGGCCCTCTCCCGCAGCGGGTGACTTTTCCTGTAGCCGTTGATGGAGCCATGCTGGTATGAGATGCATATGTCAGGAAAATCAATATACAAGCTGTCACACAGTCTTGAAAGACAGAAGACAGAAAAAGTGTTGTCCTCACCTTGGCTGGATCGAAATCCGGAGGGTAGTACTTGTTAACTCCTTTACGTTCACCCTAAAACAGAGAACAAGCATTATAATAAATTTTTTTTTTTTTTTTTTACAGAACCAGTGTGTTATTGTTAACTAAAACTATGAAAAATGGTTTTCAGTAGTTGAAATAAAGCTGAAATAAAATATAAATGAAATGAAAAACTAAGTTAAAATTTTAAGTTGAAGTGCCAAAATAACTAAAAATAAATCTGAAATAAATATTAATTAAAGCTTATTAATATTTAAAATGAAACTAAAATGACTAAAATAAAAATAAAATCACACAAAATAAAAATGACTGAAACGTTAACTAAAATTTCAAACAAATTATAAACATAAAAGCGAATTCAAAATATGAATAGATAGTAATATATAAATAATACTTAAAAATACGGTCCATACCATTTTTTTCTGATTTAAATCAGCTCCAGATGATTTTAGTATCAATCAGAATACAACTGCAGAAAAGAACATGGAAGAGAAAAACTAACATTATTATAAATCATAAATATGGTGTTTCAGATTCTTATAAGTTACATGTATCGCCTTAACGCTGACAAAAATACAATGGTAATACATTGTTTCATGGACATGACGCTGCGCTTAATGTATATCAAAGTACCGTGGTAAAACTGTCACTCCAGTACTTTTACAGGAATAATTAAATTGCCAGAGCAAAAAATAGAACGTGTTATAATTACAATAACGAAAATTAACTGTAGTTGTCAGCTGATGATACACGATATGTCTTAAAATAACCAAAAAACAGCCGACTAATATTAAACAACAACCACTGCGCAAACTGTATGCTATTTACACTACTAATACACGTAGAAACATATGAACATTATAAATTAAATGAAAATAATGTCCTGCGTTAAAATACTGACCAAACAACCGTCTGCGTAAACAGCGTCTGAGTTTCCTTGTCGTCGTAGCCTCGCGTCACGCTAGAGCTGAGTGTTCCGACAGCGCCACCTGTTGAGCGGAGGACACGACGCGACGCGCTGGACAGGTAACTCAAAATCTGTGAATAAGTTTATTCAATTTATAAAATGTACGGTTATAATATAAATAAGATATTAAGACAAGGGGGTAACCCTCTGAGATGGAAAAATCCGCTGTGAGTCAATCGTGAGGCATAAGTTAAATAACATCCTGTCGTCTATTGGCTCACATTCACTCGGAATAACCATGACATGTTTGCCAGTTGGGATTTCGCTTGCAGGTGCAGGTGGGCATTTTCCTGCCAGTGAGGGGTAATGGAACATCTCTGGAGTTTATTTTTGTGCATGTGTAGCCAGGTGGTCAGAAAAACTTGGACATTTGAGGGTTTTTCCAATCTTAGGCATGGAAACATAGCCTACGTGAGATTAGATAAATAGGCTGAATGCCAGAAACCCTTTGGAGTTTGTGTTGAACCAATTTGTAATGGAGCAATAGTGAATATAAACTGTAAATATAAAATATAAATATACTGTATACATATGTGCTGGTCCAGTATGATGGAGGGATGTTGAGAAAGGTGTGAGTGGATGAGAAGTGATGGAGGAGGCAGGAGCTTCTAGTGCGCTGGTCAGATTTACAGCATAAACAGCCCTTGCCTGGCGAGTTTGAGATTCCCCACTAATTCCCGCAGAATGCTTCCCAACACTGGAACGCTGCTCTTGCATTCCTGCCCGGTGCAGACGAGCCCTATATGGGCCCGCCGGGAGACCCGCCAGAGAAGGAATGCAACACAACTCTGTTATAAGGTCATCCATACCTTAAACAACACCCCTGAGAAATGACCCTGATCTAACACACGATACACCTGAGCATATAGACACATTTTATTATCTTTATTTATATTGGGCTCTTGGGAACCAGGTGTTTGCCAACAGGCGCACATGAGAAAAATAGTTTCAAGTTGCATAATTTACTTATGAACACAACAATATCGTATTCAGTAAGCTTCTAAAATTTGTTACGAATCAGTTTCACTGTAATAACATAAAATTAATTATTATTTAAAAGAATACTTTACGGACCACATTGGATCGTGCAGAGCTATTGTGATGGATTAATATTGTGTTATTTTGCAGCCATCTTCCCTGAGAATGATCTTATCAGAAAACAAAAGTATGAGGAATGCTGAGAGACTATGTAGCTACTTTTTTAAAGACTAAATCCATGAGTGCATGCATAGGTGAGCTTCTGTGATTTGTACCAGACAGACAAAGCTCTTTTCCGTGGGTCCACACCTCCCTTCCATGTCACCGTGTGTTTTACAGTGTGTGAGTGAGACTGTTTTTCCAATCTGTGACTTTGATATGAGATTCCTCAGACTGCCTCGGATTCCTAAGAGGGTCTTTCAGGACATGCCAGAAGGGTTGCCGTATCCCCCACTGTACTTCCGTTAAAAGGGTACGCTTTGGTGCACAAATCCTATGTTTTTTTTTTGTGTGTTTTTTTGGTGAGACCGTTTTAATAGTTAATAAACTATGATCTTATAGTCTCAGCCTCAGATGTCACACCCATGGACTGTTGGCTGAAGGTCTGATGCATAAAGGCACACAAAATTCTCTGATTGGTTGAATTCTACGGGATTTCCGGGAGACGTGTGTCGTGTTCTTTAACGGTCCACCGAGAAACAAAGCCGTTGTGATGCCAAACCCCCTTATGGAAGACGAAAGTCATCGTGTTTACAACTGTAACAATGAGCGTTTATCAGGATCAACTAAACGATGGATTTTAAAAAGTATGTGAAGTTCGCGGCATAGACTCTTTAAAAGGTGTCCGGAAGCTTCACTTGAGGCACTTATAGTGAACGACTGGTTTCACACAGGTCTGTTATTGTTGGGACATTGATTTTACATTTTCATGCCCCTAATCATGACGGTGAACAAACTTCTGTCATCAGTCTGAAGGTCTGGCTACTCAAGACATCAAAAAGTATACTTAGTATGAAAACTGGCTACTTTTAAACACATCAAATGTCTGCACACATTTTACGAGGTGGCGATTTTCTATGAATTTGTATGATGTGATTCGGTCGGAAACGTATAGTTTAAAAAAACTAAAACATAAACATGAAGCTCCACCCCGAAACTTAACCATCTGGGGTGTAAGCAGATCGTACGAATACGTGCTGCAAATGAGACTGTATGAATTCTTAAAGGGATACTCCACCCAAAAATGAAAATTCTGTCACCATTTACTCGACCTCAAGTTGTTGCAAACCTGTATGAGTTTCTTTCTTCTGATGAACTCAAAGGAAGATATTTTGAAGAACGATTGGAACTTTGGCACCATTGACTTCCATAGTATTTTTTTTTTTCTACTATGGAAGTCAATGGTGCCAAACAACTGTTTGGTTCCAATCGTTCTTCAAAATATCTTCCTTTTGTGTTCAGCAGAAGAAAGAAACTCATACAGGTTTGCAACAACTTGAGGGTGAGTAAATGATGACAGAATTTTCATTTTTGGGTGGAGTTTCCCTTTAAGAATTTGCCACAAATTCGCCAAAATGTAAAAAAGTTACGAATTGTCAAGAGTGTGTGTTGCGGTCACCTACTTCGCTGTCCAACAACTAAAATTGAATGTCATAATTTTGATGTAGTCTGTTAAATAATGCCACCTCGGGTGTGCATTTGTTCCCCTAATAATTTAACGCCTCGTCGTCAATTATTCCTTACTTAATTACTAAAAGCATAACATTTAACCTCTGCCGTTTGTATTCCACCCTATGACTGCAGGATTTCCCCTAAATTGCCCAAACAATCCTTACAATTGTGACATCTAAGCAGTGAAATCAGTTAGACTCTAAAGCAGGATAAGAAAAATCCAATGCAAATTTTCTACAAAATGTAGTGTTGACTGCAATCATCGAGTTAGTTTCCTTAGTTATTGTTAAAAAAATATTTTTAATAAATTGATCATAACTACAAAAGAACATTAAGTTGCAAACTAGCTATATCCCCTACTGAGTGACAACATAATTCAGGCGAAATTCATGTGCATGCTAGAAAAATAAAGCCCTCTTGGTGAAAAAAGTGCTTGGATAACAGGGTTGCAAGCAATTAAAAATTGCACAACCAATATATTGATTAGAAACCACCTCATATCATATTTTGACCCTATTTTTGAAAAGGAAAAAAGGATCTAATGTTTTTCAGGCTCAGTTTTGTAGTGTAAAGTGCCATACAGATCGTCCTTTACTTTCACTTCTTCATCATCATCTTTTTTTCAGCTTTATTCAAGGATGGAATCATACATATATCTGGGAGGACAGACTGGAGTAAGGAAAGGATACTAAACCGAAGCAAAAAGGAATATATCATACTTTTGTTGTTTTGGCGAGACAAATAGCTAATATATTCCAAATCCATTCCCTCTTACGGATCTAATTCAGTCTTTCTCCTTTGCGTGTCTGGGGACACAGCAGACCTGAACGCTGTGTGTTCACTCTGGTCTGGATGAAGACGTCCAGTTTTAACAAGGTTGTAAGGAGGGTTGAGCCAACAGCATGGCAGCAGCACCAGTGGAAACTGATCTCACTGTAATCTTCGTCATGATGGATGGGTTAAAAAGAGTTATAAATTAAAACAGACTAGCTGAGAAGAGATTTCTGTGGAAGTTTCCCTGTAAAGCAGATTGTTTTATGGACCTGTGTCCGATTTAAACCGCCCGACGATTGGCTGAAATCCTTTTCCATTGATCTTATTTTAATATTGATGGATGTCTGACTGGAAAACATTCCAAACTGCACACAATCCAAACTCTTTGGTATTTTTCTTAAATAACTGCACTCAATAAGAATTGGCATTATCCTCAGACTAAAATTAAATGTATTAAAAGATTTACCTACATTTTATAAAACCATCACAGATATATATTATTTATTTGCATTAAATTATATCTGCAAAGCATGGCTTTCTGGTAAAGTTTGGTTATTTTTTTCTCCTATTAACTTTAAAGTTTAGGTAACATCCTCAGCATTAGCGGTGTAAGCACTGGACACCCACACAGAAAGATGGAATACAACATTCAGTAATTACAATAAGGTAAGAAAATATGAACAGTGGAGTTTAGTTTAATAAAAGTTAGAATAAAAAGACTTAAAGTAACTTCAACCCTATATCATGGCTCCTTTTTATTACAAATATTCTGTCAAAATTACTACATCATAATGTAATCATAATGGTGAGCACAAAGCAAGGAATGTTAAATCAAACTGTAAAACTCTCCACCCTGTTACCATCATAACGTCCTTTTATTACAATAATCCTGTACAAATTACATCTTTTCAATTGGTGAACATTCAAAGTCAGGTAAATGTCTCCCGTTTTTAATAAGGCACGATCTTAGAATATCAACCCTGTTACCTAGCTTGATTTTAAACAGTAAATGTTCGCTAAATTTTTTTATAATTCCAGCATTCAATTATTTTTTTAACAAGATCCCTGGAGTATCATAATGGTGAGCACAAAGCAAGGAATGTTAAATCAAACTGTAAAACTGTCCGCCCTGTTACCATCATAACGTCCTTTTATTACAATAATCCTGTAAAAATGACATCTTTTCAATTGGTGAACATTCAAAGTCACGTAAATGTCTCCCGTTTTTAATAAGGCACGATCTTAGAATATCAACCCTGTTACCATGCATGATTTTAAACAGTAAATGATTGCTAAAAAAAATTATAATTCCAGCATTAAATTATTTTTTTAACAAGATCCCTGGAGTATCATAATGGTGAGCACAAAGCAAGTAATGCTTAATCAAACTGTAAAACTCTCCACCCTGTTACCATCATAACGTCCTTTTATTACAATAATCCTGTACAAATTACATCTTTTCAATTGGTGAACATTCAAAGTCAGGTAAATGTCTCCCGTTTTTAATAAGGCACGATCTTAGAATATCAACCCTGTTACCTAGCTTGATTTTAAACAGTAAATGTTCGCTAAATTTTTTTATAATTCCAGCATTAAATTATTTTTTTAACAAGATCCCTGGAGTATCATAATGGTGAGCACAAAGCAAGGAATGTTAAATCAAACTGTAAAACTGTCCGCCCTGTTACCATCATAACGTCCTTTTATTACAATAATCCTGTAAAAATGACATCTTTTCAATTGGTGAACATTCAAAGTCACGTAAATGTCTCCCGTTTTTAATAAGGCACGATCTTAGAATATCAACCCTGTTACCATGCATGATTTTAAACAGTAAATGATTGCTAAAAAAAATTATAATTCCAGCATTAAATTATTTTTTTAACAAGATCCCTGGAGTATCATAATGGTGAGCACAAAGCAAGTAATGCTTAATCAAACTGTAAAACTGTCAACCCCGTTACCATCATAACTCCCTTTTATTACAATAATCCTGTACAAATTACATCTTTTCAATTGGTGAACATTCAAAGTCACGTAAATGTCTCCTGTTTTTAATAGGGCACGATCTTAGAATATCAACCCTGTTACCATGCATGATTTTAAACAGTAAATGATTGCTAAAAAAAATTATAATTCCAGCATTAAATTATTTTTTTAACAAGATCCCTGGAGTATCATAATGGTGAGCACAAAGCAAGTAATGCTTAATCAAACTGTAAAACTGTCAACCCCGTTACCATCATAACTCCCTTTTATTACAATAATCCTGTACAAATTACATCTTTTCAATTGGTGAACATTCAAAGTCACGTAAATGTCTCCTGTTTTTAATAGGGCACGATCTTAGAATATCAACCCTGTTACCATGCTTGATTTTAAACAGTAAATGATCACTAAATTTTTTTATAATTCCAGCATTAAATTATTTTTTTAACAAGATCCCTGGAGTATCATAATGGTGAGCACAAAGCAAGGAATGTTAAATCAAACTGTAAAACTGTCCACCCTGTTACCATCATAACGTCCTTTTATTACAATAATCCTGTACAAATTACATCTTTTCAATTGGTGAACATTCAAAGTCACGTAAATGTCTCCCGTTTTTAATAGGGCACGATCTTAGAATATCAACCCTGTTACCATGCATGATTTTAAACGGTAAATGATTGCTAAAAATTAGATATTTGTATAATTCCAGCATTAAATTATCTTTTTAACAAGATCCCTGGAGTATCATAATGGTGAGCACAAAGCAAGTAATGTTTAATCAAACCGTAAAACTGTCAACCCCGTTACCATCATAACTCCCTTTTATTACAATAATTCGGTCAAAATTACATCTGCCTTTCAGAAAATGAACTCTTCAAAGGAATGTAAATATCTCCTGTTTTGTCAATAGGGGATGATGCTTAGAATATCAACCCTGTTACAATCATTTTAAATAGTAAATGATTACTAAAAATTAGATTTCAGATTTCTATTTATCAGTATTAAAATCTCTTTCTGACAAAGAGCCCTGTAGTATCGCCATGGTGAGGTGAGCAAGTCTTACTGAACTGTAAAACTATCAACCCTGTTACCTTTTTAAAGTGCTATACTCATTTATCCTTAGATTCCATAATGGAATTTATCAACACTGAAAGATGTTCTTTGTATGGTAGAAGATTTAACAAAAATGTAGTTTTTATAGCTAAAGGTTAAGGTTGTCCGTTTAAGATCCACTTGCATAGAGTGGCCCAAAAAAGTATGTGGATGCTTGAAACACACATTTTAAAAATGTGTCTGAAATGTATGAATTAATGTATTAAAAAGATTTCAAGCTATATATTTCACAAAAAAAATAAAATTTAGAATCTAGAAAAAATGAAAAAGTGATGTTAGATCTAAGAAAAGCTCAGGCATAATTTGTTTGCAAATGCAGCTTGGTTTGAAATGTCTTTACCCAATGCAATAAATGTTTAAGTGTGACTTAAGTGTCCAAATATATTATGGTGCCGCTTTACTCATTTAACACAAGACGGCTATGATGTCACTGCAAGTCATGCGCATTCACTTCTCCAGCACTGCAGGACTTCATGCCTTTATAGTTATATAAGGAATGTAGATAGGGAGAAAAAAAAATCATATTTTAATAAAATCCCCAAATTTATGTATCTGAAGACAGCCATTCCATCTTGGAATTTCCATTCAAATAACTTCTGTCATCTATTTAGTTTTTTTTGTTAGTTTTATTATGGGCCTTTCTTCCATCCTTCATGCAGTTAACCCTTAATTTTCCTTGTTCATCATTTTGTATAAAATGTGTGTAAAAAAAACCCCCAATTCCATGTGTTTCATCGGCTCAACCTCCATGATGACTACGCTAGTCAGACGTCCAACAGCTTTAAACAATTTACCCCCATTTTCCATACTCTCAGCCGCTCACTTAAAGAAATACCAGTGGCTTTCCAAACATTACATCTAGTTGCCTCTAATCCTAGCCACGAGTCCAGGTGAGAGAGTGAAGGGTTATTTCACCTCCCTCCCCTCCAGGCCGCACCCCATCATCCCCCCCGCCCCGCTTAGATGCCTATAAAAGAGACGGTGACTCTGGCGCATCTCATCACCTGCGCTCTCATCCTGAAGAAGGAAAACCAGGCGAATAGAAAAGAAGAACGATGCGTTCACTACTGAAGATCACCGTTCTGCTGTTTTGCGTTCAAGCGGGAGAAGGACACTGGCTAAGAACGCTCCTGGGTAAGCCTGGAGGTCATGACCTTTGAGGAGAGGGCAACAAAATGTCTGTAGATTTATTATAGGCTCACTAATTGCCATTCCAAACCTGTATGACTTTTTTCTTCTTCTGTGGAACACAGAAGTTATTACGAAAAATGTACTTTTTTTTTGTCCATACAGTGGAAGTCAATGGGTTCCAATACTATTGTTTGGACCCCATTGACTTTTAATGTATGGATAAAAAAGCATTTTCAGAAAAACGTTGAGTGCTACCATCATACATTTTACCTCGAATCAAGCATTTTTGCTGAATAGAGATGTGCTGCTACTTTTCTAAGTTCTGTCAACCACGAGTATTTATGTTTCGCTCTTTCTTTTTCAGACACGGACCTCCGTGACGAAGAGAGAAGAGGAGGTGATGGTGAGGAAAAGGAGGGTTCGGGGAGGGCGATTCGGTCGCCCCGCAGCACTGAGTCCCCGTGTGCTCTGCACTCCATCCTGCTGCAGGTGCGGGACCTCGGGCTGGGATACGACTCGGATGAGACGGTGCTGTTTAAATACTGCAGCGGGACCTGCCCTCGCCTCGCCTCCAACCACGACCTCACGCTCACCAACCTCCTGCAGAGCGGCACCCTTCAATACACCGGCCACTGGCACCATCAGCCCTGCTGCCGCCCCACACACCACGAGGACATAGCCTTCCTCGACAACCTCCATCGCTGGCACAAAGTGGAGAAACTCTCCGCCGCTGCATGTGTGTGTATGGGGTAGAGACTGCCCAAATCTGGCTTCTGTCTGCTTATCCTATTGGTTTAGAGACTGTACAAATAGCGCCTTGAATTTAAATAAAAGGCTGTTTAAGGTACGTTAATTCAGGAAGAAATGACATGTATGTGCTGAAATGTATTAAGTTGTATAGGTTGCTTTCTCTGATGACATGGCTTATTCGGCTATAATTGCGTCTAAACGTTTCGTTTTGGTTAATGGCAACACAATGGCGTGTTTGAATGGTCAAGACTGATTCCATCCGAACCAAAAATGTAAGATATTTATGTGCTTATAAATTATTTATTTATTTGAAACCCATTTTTACTGCCAAATAAATTATTGTTCATCTTTATTTTATTTTGCTGCTTGTAAATATGTACAGTTCTGATTAAATATACAAACAAAAGTCGTTGTGCTCGTTTCGTTGTAACTACACTTGGCTTATAATTAAGAACTAACGACATAAAAGTATGATTACATAAAAACAACCTAAAATTATATAAAAATACATTATAAAAACTTATTTTTTACATTTTTTTAATTGCTTTTTATATTAACATACAAAATATGCATAACACAATCAAACTGATTCAAAATAGTGATTCACACTTCTTGAATGAGTCCTGCTCATGTGTTTGGTGTTACACACACACACACACACTACTCAGCTTTGACATCTTCCACAGCTGCATCCTCTGGCTCCGCCCCCCATACCTGAACACACCCCTCCATTGAAGTCAAAAGGCGGGGCTCCGTTGGGTGGAAGGACAGCGATTGGACGACAGCTTTCCCAACAGGCAGCTTTAAAGTCAGGGAGCCCTACAAGGATAGATTACAGCTTTACATATTCAACTTGACATTATGTCATAGCATTGGCTCTGTGGGTCATGTGACTTGTTCTGCTCACCTCCACCAGATCCCAGAAGTAAACATGGCCATCTTCTGAACAGCTCAGAACATGCGTGTCTTTATCAGACAGACAGCAGTCAAGCTTATAGCCTTTATTGACATGACCGGAGTACCTGAGAAGAGACACCATAGAAACACGTTATGTTGAAGTGATAATAGTATAGAAATAATACATTAATGTAGTGTAGTATTTACTGTTCCATTTAACTTACATTTTTAACATTATTTGACAGTTTGAAATGTGAATTTTAATTTCACTGTCATGTTGAACTATGCTTTTAAACAAATTTTATTAAATTGTTTTCAATAATGCACATTTATTTGTTAATGTGATAAGCGATTTATTTATTATTTTACCATGTTTAACTACGCTTTTAGACATGAATTAAATAAACTATTTTAAATATGCATATTTATTCTTTTGAAAAGTGAATTATTTTGTTATTCTTAACTACACTTAAAAAAATAATTTTAAATATCGGTTTGCCACATTTAATTTATTTACTGTTACATTAAGTACACTTTTAGACATTTTAAATGTGAAATTTTTTTGGTCAATTTGAAAATTTATGTTTAATATCCATTTTTATTTTTTAATTAACACATTGAAAATAAAGTTCTCCATATACTTTACTCATAAAACCTGAAATAATCGTAGCAACTAGCATTGTTTTTAAAAAAAATCTAGTTTTATTGTACTTAGTAGTTGGATCTGTGTTGTACATACTCTCCCAGCATCTCCCCTGAGCTTTTGTCCAACAGGCGCACCGTAGAGTCCAAACTGGAGCTAAGCGTGCACTGACCGTCCCGACTGAAACACACACAAGTGATGGGACCTGTGGAGCACAAATATACACAACAAAAGCATGTTAGACATCACACAGTACAAAACATGTATTTTTATTCCCTCATGTGTGATATAACTCACTTCCAATGAAATCGACATGAAGCTGCCCCATTCTTAGGTCATAACGCCTCACTCTTCCATCCACAGACCTGATAAACAACAAACTTCAGTTCCACACTCTTATTCTCACATCATATCCTACAGTAAGATGAGCTTAGTTTGGTTCTGACCCCGTCAAAAGCTCATGCTCTGACACTTTTAGGCTGCTGATGCCATCCCGAGCCTCGTCCAGGATCTGGATCGGCTCCATCCGTCTGGATCTAGTGTCCCAACATCGTACTGTCCCATCAATGGAGCCTGAAGCATTAAGAAGCAACTGAGTCACAGTGAGATTGGACTGTGGTTATTCCCATAATCAATTATGATTAAATCAATTTCATAAAGCCTAACCCACCTGACAGCATCACAGTAGCCTCCTCATTAAACTGCACACAGTTCACTTTCTAGGGAACGAGCATAACATTGAAAACAAAAGACATTTTAGTGAACAAATCATCTATAACTAATATAACTACAATTATATACTGCAATTATCTTAGCAAATACAAATAATAAAGGCAGTATAATATCGTGGCGGGAAATGTGGTTACCCCTGCGTGCCCGCGAAGTTTGCGCGTCACCTGTCCAGACCCCACATCCCACAGAATGACGGTTTTATCCGAGCTGCAGGAGCACAGCTGACTGTTATCATAGGAACTGCGAAAAGAAAGTGAAATTAACACAAACCAAATACAGTAGTGATGATATTTTAATGTGATGTATGTAAGATATAAACATACCAGTCCACGTCCAGCACTTCATATCCGTGACCGGTGTAAGTCTTCAGCAGAGTCCCACGACTCACACTCCAAAGCTTCAGAGATTTATCACCGCCACAGGTCAGCAGATAATTCCCATCAGCTGGAAGAACATGAAATATATAAATGACAGCTGGTTACAGGTCTGAGATTAGCTCTGTTTTCACATGGTGTTCCCCAGGGCTCAGTCTTGGGCCCTTTACTCTTTCATATTTATCTGTCACCACTTGGTCCTTTGTTGCGATCGCTTGGCCTCCATTATCACTTTTATGCTGATGATACGCAGATTTATACACTCAAAATCTGGTGAACACCCCGATGCTGGTTAGGCCGTATTCCTGAGATAAAAACATGGATGAGTAATAATTTCTTGTGTCTGAAACAGTATAACAGAAGTTATACTCATTGGTTCCCGTCATCAAATTCCCAAAGCTGGTTCACTGTTTTTGACTATTGATGACTCTGTCTTGGAGACTCAAAGTAAAGAGAGGAAAACTTGGGAGTTATTTTATTGCTAGTCTTTCACTGGATTCTTTTTTTCAGAGTACTGTTAAAACATCCTTTTTCATCTCAGAAATATAGCAAGAATGTGTCCTATTCTCTGTAGCTTAAAAGCGGATAAAGAATGATAAAGAAACTGATAAAGATGAATGTTGGTAATCAAACCGTGACAGCACCCATTGACTTTCATATTATGAAAAAAGTAATAAGTCAATGGGTGCCGTCAACTGTTTGTTTTAACAACATTCTTCAAAATATCTTCTTCTGTGTACAACATAAGAAAGAAACTGATACAGGTTTAGAACAACTTGGCGGTGAGTAGGCTAACCAATGACGGGAAAAAAATCATTGTTGGGTGAAACATCCTTTTAAGCATGTTTGAAACAACAGCGTCACGCATTACCTGTTACTTTTCTCAACGCTAATCAGGAATGGCCAATCAGAATCGTTAGTACTAGAGATACAACTGTGAGGTACAAATCTTTTAAAACGTATATATTTAAAATACTATACTTAGTGTATCTCCAACAAAGCGATTAAATGAAATTGAAATATGCGACCCGTCATGTACCTTCTTGAGATAGACAGCTGTTTGTTTTAAGGTTAAAAAAACAGATAGTTCGCTCACCAGTCCGGACTCTTACCGTTGAAGCGCACGGCTCTCACGGCGCCCTGCTGACAGTCGACAGTCCGCAGGAGAAGCTGCGGCAGCTGAGGAGCTTGAGGACGGGGCTGGGGGAAAGCCATGACTCTAGCTTTAGATATTTACTAAAAAATACATATTAAAGCGGTAACACTACGATAAAACCAGAACTACTCCACAAACTGCATAAAAACACCGTTTTCTTCAGCGGAATGCATGTTGATAAATGGTGCTCATTACCGCCATCTGATGTGTCGGAAGACGCACGTTCTTGACAATACTAAAACATTTTTGTTCGCATTGTGTTAGTTTATTATGGAGGTTTAAAATGTTTGTTTTTTTATTTCATGGTTTTTATCATAACTATTTCATAAGTCATCATGTGCATGTGATGGAAAATGCATCAAAATTTACTCTATTAATGAACACAATAACAGATTTGATGCACCTTCCTAATCATTTTGATAACCAGAACGAAAGGTTCTTTTCACATTCATCACAGTGTAATAACAACAAATAAAATGGACACAAAATTGTGCAACAATATTTTACTCAACCATAAAGTCAAGAGCAAAATGGACCATAATCACATTACAATCAAATACTGTGCAATGTGAACAAACTGTTGGCTAAAAATCACTGGATTGTTGAATGTCTTCCCACCCACATCATAAACGTGACTGATTTCCAGTACATATCTGTATGAATCAAAACAGCTATTTACAATGACTAAGTAATCAAAGGATTTATGGTACATATCACATAAAAAGAGTCTCAGCTTATGTAACTTGTCATGTTTTGCCAACAGAAAAAGACATCTGAATTGTTATCAGCATCTGACCAGAATGAAAAAAAGAAACAAAACTTAATTCTCCCAAACTGGGAATTTTTCAAAATGAGGTGTTAGATTTTTACAAACCACACCTTAAAAATAACTACAGACATTGCAAGCAAAGCAAAGCAAAGCGTAGGTCAAAAACAGTTGATGGTTTAGGAACAGCACGTTATTTCTTCTTGCCCTTGCTGGCTTTGCTGGCTTTGGCCAAGAGCGCAGGGTCAATCTGATCTGCAGCCAGTCCTCTGACGGAGAACAGACGGGCAGCCCGTTCCTGCAGGGTTCCTCCACACTTCATCCCTCGTTCCATCAGCTCTTTCTTCAGCCGCTCCAGACCCAAGGCCTCCAGCTGCTCCGGCCCACTCGCAGAGAGCAGATCCAGCTCCGCCTGAAGAGAGAGGTCAGGATTATCAAACAAAAAAACATTTCCAACAGGAACAACCACATCAGGAGGAGATCTTACCACTTCCAGAGCCTGACTGCTCTCGGCTGGGCCGCTCTGTGCTTCTGTGGGCGCAACCTGCAACTTCTCCTGTTCAGTGCTGCAGTTTTTAATGATGTCAACCTGCAACTTCTCTTCTGTGCCACTGTTTTGTCTGATATCAACCTGCACCTTCTCCTCACCAGTGCTGCGATTTTGACTGAGATCGACCTGAACCTTCTCCTCTTCTGTGCCTCTGTTTTGGCTGATATCAACCTGCAACTTCTCTCCAGTGCTGCCATTTTGACTGAGATCGACCTGCAACTTCTCTCCAGTGCTGCCATTTTGACTGAGATCGACCTGCAACTTCTCTTCTGGGCTGCTGTTTTGGCTGATATCAGCTGTACGTTCCTTCTCGGCCTCCTTCTGCACCTCTTCCTGGTTGTGTGTTGGGGAGCCCGTTGGACTCGAGGAGGAGCTGCTGGTGCTGCTGGGCTGGCCCTGAGGTTCTGTCCTGTCGCTCCCCCTGGTGGTTGAAGCCGGCACAGCTGGTTTGGGAACATCTGAACTACAGGAAGCCCCAGAGGTGGATGGAGAGGCATCGCTGTCACTGTCATCACTTCCTTCACCAGAGCTGCCCATGTCTTCCAGTTCTCCAATGCCAGACCTAATGGATTAAAGAAGGCATATTGCAGATTTGAAATTGTAGAATTTGAATTTCATCTTTGTAGTCCATCTACATTTCCTTTATCATTGCCCACAACATATGGGAAATCATCTCACCAGAAACATTTCTTCTTTGCTTTCTTTTGGCCGTCGGTTGGTGACGGACGCTTGCGGCTCAGTTTATCGTCCGCCTGAACGAGACCACTAGAGGAAGCCTGCATGCCTGAATAGTAGAGAATTTTATTTTCAACTTTTACCTTTACTGTCAAGAATAATTAGGGATAGGTGATATATTGAACATTTATATCATTCAATATATAAAAAAAATATGTATATATATATATATATATATATATATATATATATATATATATATATATATAGAGTTGTAATCAAAATTATTCAACTCCCATTGTAAATCAGGTTTATTGGTCAAATTTACTGACTTTTCGCTGTTTGCAATAAATAAATCAAACAAAAGTAATTGAAATAGGTCAACACAACAAATGTTTCAAGTAGTTTCCCCTTTTAATGACTTCCGCAGTCTCAAATTATTCAACCCCCTGAATAGAATCCCTCATAACAGCACAGATCTTCAAAGCTTTTTGTCTCAAGCACACCTGATGCAACTATTCAAGGGCTTCATTAGTTGCACCAGGTGTGCTTGAGCTAGAACACATGAAATATCTGAACTGGCTAGGTTTGTTTAGTGTCACGTTTGACTGCATGTTAGATTTACTTATTTTTATTGATAATACGATATAATTTTATAAATATAATAAATAATTGTATACATCACATTGCTGCAGCAATAAATGAATAAATTAAGGTCACTTTAAACATTTCTAAATTAATTATAATTATTTTTCTAGATAAATAAAACTTTTCATTTTGAAATCACAATTAACTAGTGTAAATGAGAGAATATATAAAAAGAGATATTTTACTTTATTAGGGTCTCTGATTTAAATATCTTAAAATACCAATCTTGTGATTGGTTCAAGTGAATTAGTAGTGGTCATTGTTTTTGACCATCTCTTAAAATAAATGAATCAAAAGATGTGATTCACTAGGATGAAACCTCTCTCTCTCTCTCTCTCTCTCTCTCTCTCTCTCTCTCTCTCTCTCTCTCTCTCTCTCTCTCTCTCTCTCTCTCTCTCTATATAGCTGTTTATAAATATTCATAATTCTTCTATGTAAATGTAATGTATCCTAGGCTGCACATGGAATTTGTACACAGAAAATCACCAAGTTACCTTTCAATACAGAGTCCTCCAGTCTCTCTGAGAGGTCGTGGCACTGCCGTTCATAATTCGTGTCGGTGAAATAATGTTTTGGCTCGGCCAATTTCCTCTGAATCCGCTCCAGACGACGCTGCTCCTTTTCCGCCTCTCGGTCGGATTGCTTTTTCAACCACTCTGCCATTCTACACCCAAACAAACATAAATATTCACTTACTCATACAAGCTAGATGTGATGCAGCTTATGAAAAGTAGAAAACACCAAATCCATAAAACATGAAATAAGTATATAATCAAACAAGCGTGCTAAAAATCCATATTGTAATAATTAGCATTACTCTTTCTCATGATTGACGTCTCGAAGTCTTCTTCCACTAAGATCTCTGCAGGCCTCGCGGTTTGTGGTCTTTTCGATTTGTGCACCGAGGGCCCTCAACATAGAGCCAAATCCTACAAAACAAATATGAGTTTAAAACATCTTTATAACTTTTAAATGTTCAAACCGTTATATAAATATATATTTTTACTTCAAAATAAACACTAACGGAATTATAATTTAGAACCAAGATTCCAAAAACTGAAATAAAAATATTATACAATTAATAATACCACCATTTGGGATTGGTTCCAAATTATGACAAATTAATTCCATTCCCATATTATAGTCGGGGACAAATGTATACCAAAGAAGACCCCAATCATTACTACAATATAAATCTATAAAACAATGAGTCAAATATCAAAAGCCAATCATATTGTAATATTTACAGACTTCAGACAGATCAATACTCGTCTGGTTAACGTTAACGTTACCTCCTTTGCCTCCTCGTAACCGAGGTTCGAGACGGTACACAACTCCAGACTGAAGCGGGTCTTCACTGTCAGAGACGCGGCCATTACTCTTCACATAGAAATCCGTACAACAGACGCCCTGAGGGAAATAAATACATACTTTAATCATCATCATCATCATCATCATCAGTGAGAGAGTATAGCACAACTAGAGTTCATATCACATTAACGTTCGGCTAATGATAGACTCACCTCTTTAACGGCAAAATGACTGATAAGATCGCTGACAGTCGAATCCGGCCCGACCGTTAGGTTAGTAAACCTCAAATTCGGCGAAATTACGAAGAGCTCCATGTTTTCTTCTCCTCTGTTTGTTCTCGAAGATGTGCTTATAAACTTCCGGTAAAAGCTGTGACGTACAACTGCGTTGACTCAACTACGGAAGCCGAGAGAACTTTCCAAATAGTAGTAAATTCAAAAGTCTTACAAGATTCTGAAGACAGTAAAGCTGTATTGCCTTTTTAATTTATATATATATAAATATAATAGTATTCATATATGTAATATTTTATGTTTCATATAATATTGACATGAAATATTTTATATTTATGATGTAATGTTTAATTTATTATTGTATTATAGGTGCTTTTCATTTCTAGTTATTTTGTACTATATTAAGTCTGTACATGATCTATTTGTGATGCGATAACTAAAAAATGTACTAAGAATAACAGAACCAAAATACATTTAATATTTGTTATGTTTAAATTATGATTTAAATAAATTACATAATCTATCAGTCATGTATGCTCTTATTTTGAAATGGTCTCTGCGTGCTCTACTCCTTATGACGTTTCAACATGGCGTCGCTCTGCAAGGTGATGTTCAACGTGAGTTCCAGATCATCTTTCTTCCCAAAACACAGTGTTTTAGCCACGCTTCGATCATTATACAGCTCAGACGCGAGCGGAGGAGAGGATGAATCGCCCGAGAGGGTGAAGAGCGGGTTTGCAGCCGCATATGATCTGCACTCGGACCTGCGACAGAGCGGCGACCGGAGCGCAGCGGCGCGGAGGAGCTCCAGGGACGAGACCTCCTTCACATCGCTCCTGCGACACTCCGCGCTCATGCAGATGGGTCCCGCCAAAGACAAGATCGTCATCGGGAAAATCTTTCACGTCCTCAATGACGATCTGTATATCGATTTCGGCGGGAAGTTCCACTGTGTGTGCCGGAGGCCCCCGGCCCCGGACGGGCAGAAGTACCAGAGGGGCAGCAGGGTGAGACTGAGGCTGGAGGATCTGGAGTTGACCTCGCGGTTCCTGGGAGCGACCAGCGACACGACGCTGCTGGAGGCGGACGCCACACTGCTGGGACTGATGGAGAGCAAAGAGACCAGGACCAAGGAATAGTTGCCATGGGCAACACTGAGATTGAACTTTGTTTGTGAATGAATGGACACTGTAATGTTTGAAATATATAAAATCGCACTGATTTTGATTCGTGTTTATTAATGTCTGAGCCCCTATACACACACACACACCCACATTCACAAACAGTCCTTTCAAAATCACAATATGGTTATTTATGTTACAATTATTCAAATGATCACAGAAGTACCGGGATAAAAGTATTTAGTTAAGATATAAACACTGATGTGAATGGTAACGATAGAGCAAATCACCCTTTAATTGTAACGGTACTTCAAATAACTATTGTATTAATTACATTGTTACACCAGTAAGTTAAGTGGCGACAAGTGACAGCTAAAAAATGTATCATTGAATAATTCACTCAAGAGGTGTTCATAACGCTGATTCATTCAATAATGATAGAAGTGAAGTATTTACAACAAGGGAGAATAATTCAATCAAACAAATAATCATTTTTAAATAGACAGCAGCTATTACAATTTTGTCAGAACCTCTAGTAAATTACGTTATTTTGTTGAGTTGTTTGTTCAGAATTGTAATCTCTATATGAACCCCCCAAAAATAGTGGTTCTCAATTTATCCAGAATAATTTATATATACAGTATATAGCTATATAGCCATTAAAAACATAACATGCCAATAAGTTAAATGTAACCTTTATTTTCACTTCATATTAAGCAGCATAAAAGAAAGGATCTAGCATAATTCCCCGAACATCCTATAAGAACATAAGTTACTTTTATATAAATAATAATTGCACAGCAAATCACAGTGATCATAAATTCTAACAAAATCATACACGAACAAGATCAATTTCTGAATCTCAAGTAAAACATTTCTTTAAATATCAAGGCCGTAATGGTGCAAACTTCAGAATGCTAAGTTAAGCTACATATGCAAGGTACAATAAAATATCTTACAGCATAAGGTTAGTGGCATGCAGTTTAGAATAAAGCTGTTATATATATATATATATATATATATATATATGTATTAATTTACATTTAGTGGTTCATAATTGATAAACGCATCTTGCATAATGAGGTGTCCTGTTTTAATTAAAAAGCATAGTGCCCTCAGCTGATGTGATGGTTATGTTGGATGTGTTTTAAGGCAGTATTTTATTGGGGGGGTGTAATGGCTTAAAGCTGCGGTTGAGGGAGTGTGATTTCGGCCCTTCTAGTCCAGCACGATATGATCTTCTTCTTAACACATCAACCACACATGGTCATGTACAGCCACTGTTAGGGACAGCAAGAGGGTTAACGACTTCATTTCCTTTATATACAATATTAAGACTTAATACACTATCAATTATATGTCCCGCCATGTTGAAGAACATAGGAGACACTTTACCCACCTCGCTTATATTGAGTTCTGCGATGCCTGACCCCTCTCTATCCAGCTCTCTAAAAGACTCTGTTGAATACGACAGTCAATGAGACATTTTAGTGGAATATTAGCGAATACATGATAAAAAATAAAAAAATAGATATGTAAATGACATACTGAACATGGTCTCCAGTTTGACCAGGCAACAGACAAAGTTGTCAAAGTCAATTGTATCTCCTTCGGAATATCGCGCCACCAGTATCTGATGAAGCTTGTTATTCAGTTTAAAACCTTAGGACAAGAAAATAGGCACTGGTAAAACGATCGATTTTCACTGACTAAACACCCATTTAATTTGAATGATCCTAATATATGTTCTTAAAATCCCAATATTGATTTACAGTGGCTGCATAAAAACTTAAAGAATGACTCTTTTGAATTAATTAACTTTAAAGCATACAGTAACAGCCTCGATTCCTCGAAATCATGTGCAAGTAAAATGGTCACTATAACTGAAAATATTGAAATCATTTTGTTAAAGACATCTGTAATCGAGATTAAGCATGGGTATCCATACAGATCATCTGATCCGATTTTGATTCACAAGCTCTTGATTCAGTTCTGGTTCCCATAGGAAGCTTTTCCGCCACGGAATAAAACAATTTAAATTGCGACTTTTTATCTAACAATTCTGACTTCTTTTCTCAGAATTGTGATAGGCCTATAAACTTGCAGTTGTGTGTTATAAAGTCAGAATTGCATGAAAGTCGTAATTGCAAGTTATAAAGTCAGAATTGCGTGATATAGGCTAAACTCGCAATTCTGAGGAAAAAAAGTTTATAACTTTATAACATGCAACTGCGAGTTTAAATCAGAAAATTCTGACTTTATAACTCGCAATTGGGACTTTGACGCAATTCTGACTTTATAACATGTGATTGGGAGTTTATAACACGCAATTCTGAATTTATAACTTGCAATTGCGAGTTTATATCACACAATTCTGAATTTATAAGTCGCAATTGCGAATTTCATGCAATTCTGACTTTATAACATGTAATTCTGACTTTATAACTCACAATTATGACTTTCACGCAATTATGACTTTATAACACGCAATTATGACTTTATAACACGCAATTTTGACTTTCACGCAATTCTGAATTTATAACGCGCAATTGCGACTGACGCAATTCTGACTTTATAACATGTAATGGCGAGTTTATTATACGCAATTCTGACTTTATAACTCACAATTCTGACTTTATAACTCACAATTCTGACTTTATAACACGCAATTCTGACTTTATAACACGTAATTCTGACTTTATAACACGCAATTCTGAATTTATAACGCGCAATTGCGACTGACGCAATTCTGACTTTATAACGTAATTGCGAGTTTATTATACGCAATTCTGACTTTATAACTCACAATTATGACTTTCACGCAATTATGACTTTAAAACACGCAATTCTGACTTTATAACACGCAATTATGACTTTCACGCAATTCTGAATTTATAACGCGCAATTGCGACTGACGCAATTCTGACTTTATAACGTAATGGCGAGTTTATTATACGCAATTCTGACTTTATAACTCACAATTCTGACTTTATAACTCACAATTCTGACTTTATAACACGCAATTATGACTTTATAACACGCAATTCTGACTTTCACGCAATTCTGAATTTATAACGCGCAATTGCGACTGACGCAATTCTGACTTTATAACGTAATTGCGAGTTTATTATACGCAATTCTGACTTTATAACTCACAATTCTGACTTTATAACTCATAATTCTGACTTTATAACACGCAATTATGACTTTATAACACGCAATTATGACTTTCACGCAATTCTGAATTTATAACGCGCAATTGCGACTGACGCAATTCTGACTTTATAACGTAATTGCGAGTTTATTATACGCAATTCTGACTTTATAACTCACAATTATGACTTTCACGCAATTATGACTTTATAACACGCAATTATGACTTTATAACACGCAATTGTGACTTTATAACACGCAATTGCAGGTTTATATCACACAATTCGGAGGAAAAAAAGTCGATAAAGAAAGAGTCGCAATTACCTTTTTTATTTTTTATTCTGTGGCGGAAAAAAGCTTCCATAGGTTCCAAATCAGTTTGCTTTGAAACTGGGATAAAGAGCTTGTCACAATCAAATCAGTATTTGATCTTTAATCTCTAACCAGGAACATCATGGCCACACAAGATGAACATTAAAAACGGTTTATTACCAGCTGACTCCACAGCCAGGCGCATTTCATAGGAGCTCATTGTGCCAGATTTATCCAGATCAAACTGTCTGAAAATGCCCTGCAAATGAGATAAATGAGTATGAGTTGCCACCATACTATGGGATGTAGGGAAGGATATGTGATTGATGAACCACTCAGTTTCTCACCAGCCACTTCCTGATTTTATTCCACAGAATCTGGAACTCCACAATTCCCAGCCGTGCACTGCCATCTTTCTGAGTTCGACCAGTCAAGGCACATTACAGTATAAACTAAATACTTATTAATAATCTGACGCAATGCATATATACAGTATACAATCTGATAAGCAAAAGTCGTTAGCATTTCAGAATCAGAGGATACATCCATCAGGCTGACCATGCATCTACACGACTCCATACTGAACCCGTCTGTCTTTAAGTCCCTGTCTGCAGAACACAGAAGAGCAGAGGTGTTTCTCAAGCACACAGACCAGACGTGAACAATTGAAAACCTCAGCCGAGCTTACGTTTGCCCACCACTCGGTTCAGAATGGTCCTGAGCTCATGAACTGAAATCTCCATGTCCTACAAGAGAGTTTAGATCAAGTTTAAATCTAATGGAATACACAATATCATTAATCAAGACACGCAAACATACACACCTCTCCTGACAGCTGAGAAAACATTTTTTTGAAAGAGATATCAATATTCTCCTCTGAAACCTCTTCCTGTGGATCAAACACACATTTATATATTGGTTATACACTGGTCCTTCCTTAAATGTAAGTCTATGGACTTTTTTTTTCTTCAGATTTATCATCTGCAATATCAGAAAAGAATGGAAGCTTTTTTCTGCCATGGAATAAAAAATAAAAAAGGTAATTGCGACTTTTTATCTCACAATTCTGACATTTTTCTTGCAGTTGTGAGTTTACATCTCGCGATTCTTTTTTGGTCAAAATTGCAATTGAAAGTTTATTGCAAATTTTTTTTTCAGATCTCACAATTCAGAATTACGAGTTTATATCTCGCATTGCAATTCTGACTTCTTTTCTCAGAATTGTGAGATATAAACTGGCAATTTCAAGAACAAAATTCTCAGAATTGAACTTTATGACTCGAAATTGCCAGTTTATATTTCACAATTCTGCGAAAAGAAGTCAGAATTGCATTGCAAGATATAAACTCGTAATTCTGAATTGAGATTGGAAAAAAAGTCAGAATTGCGAGATATATACTCGCAATTGTGAGAAAAAAAGATAGCAATTGTGAGAAAAAAAAATTTAGTGAAAATTGGGAGATTTATATCAGATATATCTCTATATCAGAAAAAGTCAGAATTGTGAGATAAAGGGTCGCAATTATCTTTTTATTTTTTTAATTCTGTGGCAAAAACAAGCTTCCATAGAAAAGTCCTTACTTCATCTTCCAGGTTAAATGAAATCTCATCATCCATTTCGCTGAAAAAAAAAAATGAAACAAATAAAATTAAGTTTGCTTCAATATAATGATGCTGCACAATGAAATGCATAACAGGCGAGTCCAAAAAAGCTAAATAATTAAATATATCAATATTTTAAACTACTTATTTATACTACTGGTGTTTGTTGTAGTTGAATGGTCGAGTCACTTACTGAGTTTCTGACTGTTTCTCAGTGAAGACTCGCAGGACGAAGTCAGCCTCTTTTCCAGGCTCAAAAGTGGAAGGGACAATGAGATACTCGCCCGGTGGCAGTTTCAGTCGCGTACTGACCTCTCGCAGATTAATGAAGCTGTCTGACCGCGCACAGGACGATTGACGCAAGAAAAAGTCCTTCTTGAGGTGAACACTCTGGGAGCCACGAAACTAAAAACAGAAGAAATAGAGTTTTTAACATCACAAGTTTTTAAAATACAGTTTATGAATGTAATTTAGAGGTGAAGTCTGTAATTTCTGCATCACCAAACAGATGAAAAAAATGATTGTTTTCAAACAGGTTTCCTGAACACTTCCCTGTCTGTCATTGGTCAGTTAAACAGATAGCTCCGCCCCAAACGCACGGCATTGGTTAAGCCGCTGTTACTATGCGGGGCTGGTCGAAATAGTCAAACAAACAGAGCAATATTTTGAAAACACCACAGGGACACAGTGTTTATACTATTAGGGGAATATCAACCTAGAAATGACTTAATTAAAAGCTTCTGCAGATTACAAAGTATTTTATACACTTCAACTTTAGATTCATATAAAACTGAAAAGATGACATACCTCTTCTGGGACCTAAAAACAGGAATAAAAGACAAGAAATTAGGTATGATATAAGTTAACCATAAAATTTAACAAAGTCTGTGAGTGTTGTATCTTCATTTTTGTCCTCAAACCTCATATAAGGCGAAGCCGATGGTGTGCATATCCTGTCCTTGCTTGCGATAACGCCGTCTGTCCTTTTGCATCAAGGCCACCATGAATGTGCAGGCCACCTCATTATCCTCAGGATCATCATCTTCCTCCTGTAGCGTGATCTTATATTGAGGGTTTATCCAGAATGTATCTGACAAAAGAGACACCAAACTAAGTGTGTAATGCAGTATGTTTTAGCTGATGAATAAGTTTCATTGTGTATTAATCTCACTGGGGTGGTTCCTGCAGCCCCCTGCTGTACTTCCTCGCCTCCAGGTCCCATTAAACTTAATCGTGTTCCAGAAATTTAGAGAATCTTCACTCAGAGCATCTGGTGTGAGGTTACAGATCTCCAGACGAGAAAACTGACGTTTGAACTCCTCAAATGACATCCTGATGTGGGCAGAGAAGCAAAGCATCAGCATCACAGCAAAACTCTGTGAAGGAAAACTTTACACGGGAAATAGAAATGATTCAATTCCAGAGTTTTTGGAATCGGAGTCGATTCCAAGAACTGATTCCAGACTATTGTTCTCGATTTTTAAGAAAAAAACATGGCAGATAATGAGCTGCTCACGTATAAATGAACACAGTTTCGCGCTTCACTCTGAAACACGCAACTCATATATTTATTCAATTAAATCACAGCCTTCGCATTTTAATAATCGCACTGAGCCATATTGCAATTACGGTTTTATTTTGATTAATTCTGAAGCCCAAGCTTTGGAGTCGACTCTAGACTCCCAACATCTCAGAATCACTTCTTCTTGGAAGTAACTCACAGCCCTAATATAGAGCGCATAATCCATAAAGATCAGATTTTTATGCAGGAGATTTACCAAAACTCGCCATCCTCCATGTGGTTGTTCATTTCCTCTCTTTCTGCTGGATCAATTCCATTCCACTCAGAAGAACTGGAAATGTATAAGTGTTATACTATGAGCATGACCGGTATAGCAAGTCCATTCAAATTCATTCTGATTGGCTGACTCACTTGTCACTCCAGGCCCCTGTCCATTCCACTTGCCCCCAAGGGTTTCGGATGCGGATCAACCTCTCTCTTCTGCCACGGAAATTCACCTAAAATTAAAACAACAAAAGATTGATGCAAATGATTAAAATGATAAACTAATGAGCTCAAGATACATTTTAGACGTGATCCTGACCTCTCTGAGACCTGTGACGGAGTACGCATGCCCCTTCACCAGCTTCTTAAAGGTCACGGCCTCCATGTCAAAGGCACTGGTGATCTACCAGACAAACGCACTTTTTAACGCATCTTTATTTGGATAATCCATAAATGTTGAGTTGTGTCTCCAGGCCTGTAGTAGGCGCTGTTGGGACTCACATCAATGGAGCAGCCCAGCAGTGAGCCTCTCTCCAAGGCTTTGGCAATGATGCGGTGCAGGTCTTTGGGAGCTTTACGCAGCTCGTACATCTCAGCCACTCCACCTGTGAAGTCCTCAAAGCCTTCGGTGGTGGAACCTCCCGACAGAGCTTCATATGAGCCATTCAGCCTACAGGCACACACACACACATTATGGTCCCTATAAATGCCACATAGAAGAAGAAAAGAGAGGAAGAGACTCACTTGGCATAGGCCTTCTCCAAAAGGGCGCTCCAGAACTCATTTCCCTCTGCTGAGTGAACAAACATTAGCTCTTTATCCTTTACAGGCAATCGGTCATCAATCACAACGTCCACCCACTCGCCAAACTGCCAGAACTGCACAACAAGCAAACAACAAACATTAGTGCATGGTAAGGTAAAGAAATATAGTTTATTAACAGTCGGCTGTGCACCTGGAAGTGGAAGATGCCGGCATACTCGTCCGTAAAGCTTTGGCCATGAGGTACAACTCTGTGAAGCAGCTTGTCGTTTAAAGTCAGGGACCCAATGGCAGCCAACAGCCAACAGTCACCTGAGTGGAGAAAAATTACCACAGAAAATACTGTTACTGTGTTTCATTTACAGTGCAAGCCTATAGGGCAAGACATTCTGAGGAAAAAAGAGCCTTAAGTACTACAACAACGCTTATAACTGAAAACTTAACTGATAACTGAACGTTTTTTACTATTAAATCTGCATGAAACTGAAGCGGCAAACGTTTTTTTCTGCCCTATTGTGGCTTATATCCGAGTAAAACGGCTTCTCGAAGAAGAAAAATGTAGGGTGCGACTTTATTTTGTCAATCAGGAATTAATTGGATGGTTGTGGTTTGCTATTGGTCGATCTCATGTGAGTGACAGGTTGCCTCGCCCTCATGCCAGTAAACGCATCATCAGAGAAGAGATGATGCTGCAAGAGGGAGGGGAGGTTATTTTTCATGAGGGCACATGAATTATGAAAAAATATGTGCATTTATAAACAATTTATAATAAGTGCAATATTTTACATTCCATAAAAAAATATGAAGTCTAATTTGAATTCATGATGATTTAGAGATTTATAGCCATTCAGAGACTGGATTCATGAATGAACTGATGCATAGCAACTGTTCAACGAATGGCATGAGTTTGCGGCGGGGCTATCTGTCTGGTGAACCAATGGCAGATGAGGAGAGTGCTGAAAGCACAAATACAAGTTGGGGTTTTTTTGCAATTAATTTTGGAGACAAGTTTTCAAACCTATTATTACCCTTATAAAAATGTACCATTACCAGTTTTAGCAAAAAAAAAAAATACAATTAATACTACAGTACTACTTTAATTCAAAATTAAAATTCTTCTTCAATGTTTGAGAAGCTATTCTGTAGAAACAATAACTAGTATGATAAATATAATGTGTGTAGGCCTACTACAATGACCCATGAGGGGGAGCCCTCCACCCACGGCCAAAGAGGGGGAGGAGAATGTGTTTGAGATACTTCCGTAGCCTAGGCCTACTCTATATTTACTCTGGATGAATGCTGTTTTATCTCAAACACCCTTGGCAAAGCCAAACCCGTTTGTCTGAGGAGGTTCTTTTCTATGTGCTAACTGAAAGGTAAAATGCATTTCTGCGATAAGCTTCCCCATCCCACTCCACCCAGTGTTTGCTGTTCAAACTTCGGCACTAATGAGTGCACACCCACAGCCTCACAAACAAACACACACACACACACACACACACAAACACACACACTGTGGGCTGTGGCTTGCAGCCAGCATTGGCAGAGTTCTCTAATGCTACACCCGTGTTTGTGTGACTCACCACTCAGGCATCGTGTTTGAACACTCCCACCAGCCAGGAAACAAACACACACATTCATCCAACCCCCTAACACACATTTCCTGTCAGAAGCGACATAAAACACTATGCGTTGTGATCATAGTAGAATAATGAATCAGATTTCGACTAAGTGGGATTTGTCATAAATCCATTCATAAAACCAACTGTAATAAACTCAAATGATATAATATATGCAGTTAAATCTATCTATCCATCTATTCACCCATCCATCCATCTATCTATCTATCGTCCATGCAATATAATATTATATTACATTTACATCCATGTTAATAAAAACATGCTAATGTGCAAATTAATGCTAGTAGCCTACCTATGCTTTTATGTCTACAATACATTGATGAATTTCTGCAAATATATGATGTAGAACAAGTTACTTTTAATTACACATTGGGAGATATCGGTTTCTTCATTTGTGTGGCAACATTTGACAGCCAGTATGTGTGAAGGTTGTAGACATTGTTTTGCTTAGATTTAAGCTGTAGGATCACCCAAACTGCAGTGAAGCACAAATGAATCTTTTGACATTCGTTAACGTGTGCAAGCATGCACAAACATACACACCCAGGCCCGTACAGTGCATACTCACCTAAAGCCCCCTGGCAAATATCTGTCCGAGTGGCTCCACCAACTATAAACTGAGGATTGTTCGACAGCTCCTGGAAACATTACGCAAGCAAATACACCTCAGCCAAAGTGTGATACTCTCCCTGTCAACCTAATAACACACTTCACCCATGACTACATATCAACCATAGACAATTTCTGTCTTTAATATATGAGATGCAAACAAGTCTATACATACAGTATATTGAACAGGTTGGATACTGTCAGTTTGCCTATGAAAATATTGTTTGGGTTTTGACAATGATACACAGGCCGAGACAAATATAACACTCCTTGATGATTCAATGAAGAAATTACATTACTTGCTGCTTGTATGAAGAACTTAAACAATTTAAATAAATGAATGAAATGTTTCAGCATATGGATATTTCCTTTCTTTTTTTTTGAGAAAAGGGGGAAAATTGAATTTTTGCTTGTCAAAGTAATTTAACTCTCAATTTCTAATGTGTCCTGGTAATTAGCACCAGATGTTGCATCTTAGTTCTCAGGTGGGACATGAGAGTTCGAGTCTAGCTCAGTCTTTTTGCTCCCACTGACAGTGTCAAAATGTGCCAAAAACAAAATAAAAGCGTGTTCCCTCAGTGACTATCCAGTTGTATGTGGTTTCTACCATGCTGATTGTATAGACTGTGCTCTGCGACACTCACAGTGGGTCTTATCCACTGCACACCGCGTGTTTTGGAGGAGTTTGGTGCGAGCTCCTTGAAGCCCAGTGACTGGGGCACGGCGGGAAAGCAGGAGTCCTCAAACAGCCTGCCGCTCTCCACACACTCTCTTCTCAGCTCCTCGTAGTCCTGGTTCAGGAACTTGACTGCATTGTCATTGCTTCCCATCCCTTCAGCCTGCAAGCGCTCCTTGTAGATACGCGACGACACTCCTCCAATTGAAAACATACTGTAGTGCACCAAAATAAGGTAGTCATGTAAACACAAAGTAGATCCCATCCCATATTGTTCCAAACCCGTATCCCACAGTCTCCATTTACTTTCAATATGTGACCCTGGACCACAAAACCAGTCACATGGGTCATTTAAAAAATTTTTTTTAGATCTATACATCATCTGAAAGCTGAATATATAAGTTTTCCATTGATGTATGTTTGTTAGGATAGGATCATATGGAATCTGAGGGTGCAAAAAAATCTAAACATTGACAAAAAATCACCTTTAAAGTTGTCCATTTATGTTCGCGATTGTGCTGCATTCACTCACAAAAATAAATGTTTTATATATTTACGGTAGGAAATTTACAAAATATCTTCATGGAACATGATCTTTACTTAATATCCTCATGATTTTTACGATAATTTTGACCCATACAATGTATTGTTGGCTATTTCCACAGATATACCCGTCCGACTTGTGACTGGTTTTGTGATCCAGGGTCAAATATGGAAAAGACATGCACTTTATTCAACATTTCTCTGTTTGCATTCCATGGAAGAAATACAGGTTTGGAACAACAGGGACAGTAAATTACAGAATTGTAATTTTTTTAGTGAACTATCGCTTTAAATGATGATAGCTTATGCCTCGCTTCTTGCAGGAATCAAACCAGCAACCCCCTGATCACAAGTCCAGAGCTTTAACCGCTACACCAAACAAAACAAAAGTGTGTGCGTATGGTAGTTGGAGACTAGAAGCTAGCACAGGAATAGCACCAATAATTCGACAGCACGCGTTCAATGTCTCTGAGCGTTTAGCGCAAAGTGCTGCTGCTAAAAGCTTATGATGCTTGCTTATGTTCGCTTATGGTCACCCACTTTGCCATTAATAGTGCTGCAGCATTCATGCGGCTTTTAGTCCAGCGTGCTGAGAGAAATGCCCTCTACAACAGACACTCGATTACAAGCCTTACTGAGGGTGGAGAGAGGTTTACTAATGACTGGCTAATTTCATGTGGTCTTGTAATAGGGTTAAACATTAGCTCTGCAGATTTCCAGACCCTGTTTACTATGATTTCATGGACAATGCAATGTCCATGGAGGGCAGTTCTCTAAGCGTTATAAGGAAACCCCATACACCCAGCTGAGATAACTGTTAATTTAGTCCATATTTACGTAATTATCATTCCTTAATTTAAACTGGTACTACAGAAAGACAAGATGGTGAATATACCTTCAGTTCCTTGTGAGGGCCGTGGGCTTGAGGAGAAAAGGATCATTTAGAAATATATTGATCAGAAAGAGAAATCAGTTCATAGCTAATTTGCTACGATGAATTCATGTTCATATGGTACAGTGATGCTAACAGACGGTAATACCATGGTATTTTGATACCATTGTGTATACTGTAGATTCTTGTACTTTGGTTGTTACATGGCAATCCAAAGTAGGCTACTTAACAATATTAGCATGTGATACTTTTTTTGTTGTCTGCATACAAGTGTGTAAATGTACACATAACTGTTAATTTATATATTTATATAAGGTTTAAAAGGGCAGTGGATGTTCTCCAAAACATAAAACTATACCAAAATAACAATCTTTTAACTAGTCTGTGGATTTTTTCGAGGTGTAATAGGGCATATCATGTGGAATGTAAACAGCACTGGCTACTGATACAATGTCAGCTGACTTAGTGATGTGAAATCAATAGGCCAGACTGAGCATCAGCATTCTAGTGTTTGTTTTAGATGATGAATGAACACACCCTCAAAAACAGTTGCAAATATTCACCACATATTCACTCATGCTGCTTTATATAGTGCTATCAGTATCTTGTTTTTTTTTAAATTAGTTCATAATATATATATAGGGCTATATATATATATATATATATATATATATATATATATATATATATATATATATATATATATATATATATATATAAAAAAAAATTCACATCCTAAATGTGACCCCTTTGTTTACAATTATTAATATCGATTCACAACACCGGTAGAAACAAATAAGCAATAAGAAAATAGTTTCGTCACTTGCCAGAAATATAGGGCAGAGGTTTACAGACGGATATCGTGTAACACGGAAAAGTTAAACAAAACTTACCACCGTTTATTTGTCGTTATGGTTATCAGCCCAGCGGGTTCGTTTTAAAATGACGGACAACAGAGAATGATGAACGGATCCGTGCAGATGAGACAACAATCAGGGTACCGCAGTGCAAGGCCACGCCTATGAGGGCGGGACTAGCGAATGATTGACAGCTGAGACGTCAAACGTACTACGCCTTCTACGAAGAGCCTTAAAGGGACCGGAAGTGTTTCTTTAGTAACTTCCATTCATGTACAAAAATACGAGTTCGTACAGTTTCAAAAGTGTTTAATAATATTCTTTGGAGAAAAAAAAATGCACACAGTTTTATTACACAGTGGTTAAGATTCTCCCGGTTCAACAATGCCTCCATTTGTAAACGGAAATAGTGTGACAATGTCAAGCACGATAAAATCATGTCAAATCTGGAAGACTGGTCAAAAGTGCAATAGAAAATTTAAAAAATAAAAGTAAATACCTATCTTTAAAAGTTTAACACATGTAATCTTAATAATTCATTCTTGAGTGGTGTGGTCCGTCTGTTGGCGAGTCAGCTAAATCATGGTAAAGTTCAGCCACTAAAAAATATAGAAAATTTGTTAAAATATTTATTTATTTAAATATTTTCATTAAAAAAAAAATTTATAGAGTGACAAACCTGCTGAAAGTCCAGCTCAATGAAGCCACTTTTGTGGGCATCCAGCTTTTTGAACACCCCTAGGAATAAGAGACACATTCACATTGATCAGATCAGAGACGTACCTGTACAAAACCTCCAGCACTACAGGAGGCGCTGACCCAACATCAAATGCAGACATAATTCTAGACAGAATCTGCAGATATTGTCTATGCAGATTTTAAAGGCACAGTAGGCAATTTTTCATAAACACTTTTTGTTATCCTGCATGGTTGAAACTCTCTTCACAATCTAACAGAAGTACTCTAAATATTAAAACATGTACATATTAGGGGTGTGCATTAATAGTCGAATATTCTATCTGTAATTATTGTTCAAAACATTTAAAAACTATTAGAATTTTGCTTTGCTGCCCGTAAATGCAGTGAAATCATAAGCACACAAACTAAGGGCGTTTTTACACTGTCCGAGTTCGGATCAGGGGCACGGCTCGCATGAAAAATCGGTAATGTGAAAGCTGTCATGTGGACCTGGGAGCGCCCCGAGGTACCAAACCCGAGACTACCTGAAGGAGGTAGTCTGAGTTTGATTACCTACCCTACCTTTAAATCTAAACTTGATTAAATGTGTTCACTCCAAGATATGTGTTAAACGAACACTCAAGGAACTTACGGAACATCATCTCCAGACGCATGAGGCAGGCCACAAAGTTATCAAAGTCAAGGGTCATGTCTGTCTCAGCGTAACGTGCTACTAGCAGCTGAAATATAGCGTTATTCAGACAGAAACCTAGGGGGGGGGGGGGAAATAAAACACAAGTCATGAATATTAAAATTCACCCCCAAAATGAGATTATTGCTTGTATGTGTGCGAGTTTTTGAGTCTGGCTTGACTTACCGGCCTCTTTCAGTGCCATACGCAGCTCTGTAGTGCTTATGGTTCCTGAACCATCCATGTCATTCTTCTTGTAAATTCCCTGGGGTGATTTTCAAATAAGACAACATGTTCAAAATAATGTTAAATGGTTAATCATGTTAAAGGCTTCTGGGTTTTAGGATCTCTTACAAGGTATTTCTGCACTTTCTTCCACAGAGTAGCAAACTCTCCCAGACCCAGTTTTCCATTCCCACTGTCCTGAGATACGGTTAAGGGACATTTACAATACAACAACACATAAATCCTTGTCAAGTTAACACAAACATAAAAATGTAAGCAGTAGCAGCTGAGAGGATACATCCATGATGTTCACCATGACACGACACGTCTCCATACTGAAGCCGCCTGTCTTTATGTCAGTTCCTACAAAACAACGCACATCTCCTTAGACTCCTCCTTAGAGCTCGAGTGTAAACTAAAGGATGTGGGAGTACTTACGTTTTGCGATGATTCTGTTTAAGATAGTCATGAGCTCTGAGGCTGAGATTTCCATGTCCTACCGAGAGAAGAAAGCTTCAGTTCTGATTCTGCTTTTCAGAATATATAAATGTTTACCGCATAACAAGTCGTCTCCACTTACAGCTCCAGCGAGTTTCACGAACATGGTTCTGAATCCAGATTCAACTTCAGCGTCTGAGACAGTCTCCTGAAAACATGAAGAAGCACAGTTTAAAGGAAAGTTCCAAGTTCAATACGATTTATCAGCAACATTTGTGTCAAAATGTTGATTACACCCCAAAATATTAATATTGCTTGATGAGGATGATTGTTTTTAATTCATTGATTCTTATTATTGTTGTTATTATTTATTCATTTATTATTGTTACTATTAGATATTAATTATTATTAAATTAAAATGATAATTTACTAGTAATAATTTTCAACATTTCTACTAGTAATATAACTAAACATGTGACAGGCTGTGGAAAATATTTTAAAAGCAAGTAGCTTGTTTTCATCCATTTGTGCAAATTTTAGGATATAGCATTAAAAAAGGCTGGATGGAAACGGCAAGATGCGGCTCAAATCTTAAAATGTGAATAAAAAAAATATATATCCGATAAGAAAACGGTCATAAACTATGATGGAAGCACATTTACCGAATAAATTCTTTGATGGGCAACAAAAAACATGTGACTCAACAGATCATGTGACTAAATAACTGGACTCCCTAGAAGTGACGATTTTGTTCGTCATTAACACATGGGATAGAAACGGTGCTTTATTCCCAAATGTTTTATGTGGTAGTCCAATTTTCTCGCATGAACTGAATTAGCAACTTTGGAAGGAAGCATAGCTAATGTGATGCTGTTGACTTTTGAGAGCGTTACATTATTTTATTTGAGAGCAGTCTGTTGAGTTACTTACATCAGGTAGTTCAGCATCCACAGGGTCATCACATATTCTAGGAGAAAACATAAGATTTTCCAATCAAATAAATTCAGAATCAAGTATTTGAAATAAAAATACATTCAGTTTGCATATTGGCATTAAAGGCACAGTATGTAAGTTTCGCCGCTAGAGTTCGCTTATTCAAAGAACAACAAAGGCGTAGCTTGATGACACCGTGAATGTGTGTGAAATCATGGGAGTTGTCGTCTTCACCTCCACAGCCGATGGAAAGCAATCAGCAAAAAAAAAAAAAAAAATGCTGATTTCTCTGGATTTAAACATTATTGGAAACAATAAAACATCGTTCAAATGGTTTTTGGATATTTAAATCCAAGGGCCCTATCATACACCTGGCGAAATGCGGCGCCAAGCACGACGCAAGTGTTTTTTTGCTCGTTTCAGCCCGGCGCAGTTATCATTTTCACGTCCTGCGCCACGTTGTTTAAATAGCAAATGCATTTGCGTCCATTTCTGCACCCATGGGCGTGCTGGTCTGTTCAGGCGCATTGTTGGCACGTTGCTATTTTGAGACAACTGAAATAGACTGCACCATTGACCAATTGAAACCTGGTCTAAATGGCGCAATATTTTTTTGTTATTTAAAAAGTGCGTTAGTAATATGCGCGTATAGGTGGGTCGACAACGCGTGTACACTTTGTCCCGTAGATGGTCTGCTTGTGCGCTTTAACCTCGAGAAGATCCGTTTCCTCGCTAGGGAAGCGTTAATTTTTTCCGCTTGCAAATTTAGCCATGTAAACAGCAATCCGCCATGGCGTGAGCGCAACTGGCTTTTGAAGGGAAGAGTAGACTCTGATTGGTTTATTGCACATTACGCCCAAAACACACCCATTACTCATTAAGAGACAACCCTTTTAGACCATGCACCGGGCACGCCAACCATTTTTCCCGACGTTAAACAATCAAAAGTGGATTCGGACACTCCCTAAGCGCTCTTGCGCATTAAAATAGGGCCCAAATAATCGTACATGTTGTGCCTTTAAAGGAGAACTCCGGCGCAAAATGAACCTTTGGTCTAATTACACATTGTTACCTAGTCAACCGTTATCTGAGATTTGTTTTCATGATTATCGAATGTAAATAGTTTTATCTCTAAAAACAGTTTAGATCGGCGTTCGTAGATCAACTGGTAGAGACTGTTTTTCAAAGATGGCTTCTGCCTGTATACGCGAAGTTGACTGTATGTATAAAATATCTTCTTATTAAACTGTCTGGACTCAGACAAAGTTCTCAATGCTTCGGTTTGAAGGTAGGGACCCTCATTATGCTACCGTGTTAGTGTGGGGCTATTTTGAGCCTTGTTAGTGGTATTAACAAGCAATTTTTATTTGTCATTACACTATGCCCAATATAGCCTACTAGCGTTATACTAGCTTTATCGGCTAAACTGTTTTTAGAGATAAAACTATTTACATTCGATAATCATGAAAACAAATCTCAGATAACGGTTGACTAGGTAACAATGTGTAATTAGACCAAAGGTTCATTTTGCGCCGGAGTTCTCCTTTAAGTAGGGAAACCTCACACAGAGGTGATACATTACAGTGTTTCGGTCTGTCTTTCGGAAAAGACGCGCAGGCAAAAGTCTCCGTCCAGGTTGGCTTCGAAGGTGGAAGGCACAACAAGGTATTCTCCTGGAGGCAATTTGAAGCGCGTGCAGACCTCTCTCAAGTTAATGAAAGTCTCAGAGCGAGCTTTCTGTCCGTGCGTCAGGAAGAAGTTCTTATCGAGGTGCACGTCCCGCTGACCCTGAAACTGATGGAGACAAAGGCCAATCAGCGAGCCAGGAAGGCTGTGACTAATGTGAATTCTCAGATATGATTGGTCAAGGGAAAAATCACCACCCCTCTTTGTAGTTTAATGCTTACCTGTGGAGGTACCTGTGGAAACAAACAAAAAAACACATTGATTTGATATTGTTCAAATGTAATCTGGGAGATCTATTGAAGCACATGTGTTCCTTTCCTCTCCATCCATCATAATCACAATGTTTAGACTGCTCTTTGTGTCTCCCCCCACCTCATAAATAGCAAAGCCGATAGTGTGCATGTCCTCTCCCATTTTCCTTAGGCGGCGTCGGTTCTTCTGGATCAGACCCACCACGAAACTGCAGTCTGGCTCATTATCGTCTGGATTGTCATCATCCAGCTTAATCACAAACTGAGGATTCATCCAGAATGTGTCTGAGCAATGAATGGATGCAGCCATCAGCAATATATTATTAAACAAACCAAACCAACCAAACTTTGTCCATGTGAATCATTTTGTTTGCACTGAAATCTGAATCTGATTAATGGTGATTTAGTGTGTTTGCAGTTCTTTTGTTGCTCACAAGGGTTGTTTCTGCAGCCCCCGGCGGTGGAGCCTTTCCTCCAAGCGCCGTCGTGGTTAGTCACGGCCCAGTGTTTTACCGAATCGCTGGTGAGGGTGTCCGGGGTCAGGGTGCAGATCTCTATACGAGAGTAATGGCTTAGGAATTCTGAGAATGACATCCTAAACAAATAGAGAAAACATGTTATACTTATTTAATACAATGTATTGAACTTTTTTAATACCCTATATTGTAGTTGTAAATGGACTTTAGATTGTAAACGCACCAGAATTCACCATCCTCAGCGTTGACGTTAGGTCGCTCTGAAGCCGCAACACTGTTCCATTCGGATGAACTAAAGGAAAGAAGAAATAAACACTTCAGATAACCATCAGCAGTTCAGTGTTTGATGTGGATGTTTTATGATGATGTTTCATGCTATCGTTTCCAAATAAGTTCCAAATTAAAGTAAAAGTAATTGGCACCCAAATGGGCCCCACTTAGAGCCCACTATGGGCCCATCATGCCCCCTACGGGGTAACACAGATGTGGGCCATGTGGAGCCGGTGGACAAATTTCTCTGGGCCTCATTTAGGTTGCCCATGCAGAGCCCAAGTGACAGCCCATCAAAGGCCCACATGGAAATGTTGGCTGGGAAAGTTATTGATGAATCATGATTTGTTCGTGAAAACATTTGCATATAGATTTTACGCACTAATTCATGCGCCAAATTTTGCAACTGTCATATTTTTAATCAACAGTATGTTTGATTTAATTAAAATCAGTTAAATCTTTTCATTTCGTTTTTGTTATTGTTGACGAAGTCAAAAAACCCTTCGTTTCTGACCATTTTCAACAGTCAAGTTTATAGACACTGCACGGTTGCGACCTCATACTTTCTGAATAACTGCTATTTCAGTTACGTTTAGCTAATTATATTAGTATAGCGTTGAACTTATGTCGTATCTCTGGTTCTGGCGGTAATCAAAGCGTACCTGTCACTCCAGGCTCCGGTCCACTCCACCTGCCCCCAAGGGTTGCGCATACGGACCAGCTTCTCCTTGCGGCCACGATAGTTCACCTGAAGAAACATAGCATGTACTCTAATGACAAAATGTAATAATTCTGTCATTAAAAAAGGGTTTGCCAATAACTTTATTCATACCTCTGTCGCCCCTGTGAGCGAGTAGGCGTGGCCTTTCACCAGCTTCTGACGGGTGACGGCTTCTGAATCAGAAGCACTAGTGATCTACATAATAGAAATAAGCATTAAACAGGGATATCTGACAAAGGTCGGCGCTCATGACCCAGAAGTTATTTCCAAATTCAGGTCAAAGGCTATTAAACTTTTTTTGGCCCTGTTTACACCTGGTTTTAAGTTGCGTTTTGGTCAATCGGATCACAAGTAGAGGAGAGATTAATCTGTCTCTTTTGTCCACTTTCAAACACTTCTGTCCTGATTTCTTCGAGGGGAGGGTCTATGGGCGGGTTAATGTATGGGTTTTCAGATCTTTCAGTCTAATGGACGAAAATAAGCTTGAGCAATTTACATTTGAACACGACCGGAGATGATGGGAAAATATATGGAGAGCAGCAGCTTTCGTTTCTGCTCTGACAGATGCAAGACCGAACGCGGTGAGTGTGTGTTAGAAATCAGGAATGGTGAGAAAACATTGTGTTTGGTATGTTTTTCACCTTCAAACCGGACTTGGACCTCCAGCCGCAGCCGACAAAGTTTAAATCCCGTCTGGCTAGAGCGATTCCCATAATGTTAACGCATTAGGTCAGTAGGAGGAGAGCAGGTGTCTTGTGCGGCTGTTTGAACGCATTCGATCACATGAGCGTTTACACTACGAAAGCAATCCGGTCTAATGCGTTTTCCTCTGGAAGTGGTTGAAAATGGACAAGCTCAAAACGTTTTAGACTCCGTTTACACCCGTATTTAGCGTCTTCCACTTGTGCTTCGACCAACAAAAACGCATCTTAATACCAGGTGTAAAAATTCCTTAGTGTCATTACACTAGTGAAATTTGTTCTGTAAATAGTTATTAGATTTGATGCCCAGTACACTACGAACATACACAGATTTACATAAAACGCTTGTAATTTATGAGTGTCATGAGTGCAGGCCGAGGAATCTCACATCGATGGAGCAGCCCAGCAAAGCTCCACAATCCAGGGCTTTCTGGATGATCTGAAACATGTTGGACGGCGCTTTACTCAGGTCGTAGTTCTCAGCGATGCCTCCAGTGAAATCCTCAAAGCCCTCACTGGTGGATCCTCCAGACAGGGCTTCATAACAGCCGTTCACCCTGCCAGAAACCATAAAAGTCACCGTTAGAGTTATGAAACGACATGTGCGCACATGTCTTTGGCCTTCGTTTCAGAAACTATGTTAAAAAAGAAACTATAGTAAATCCTATTAAACAACATGTCTGATATTATACAAAGATTGTAGGCCAATTCACAGAAACAAATCAGCATTTTAGCACTTCTGGCTTCATCATCCTGAAGTCAATTGTTTGTTTGGTTTTTTTTTTTTTATGGGTTTTTGGTTAAATGCCTGAAATAAGGTCTATAGTGGTGAACACAAACTCAAGCTATTTTCACGTTTTATTCTACAACATTAAATAATGAACTGTGTGAATTTTTAAAAGCTTTTTCTTGTCTTGAAAAAGGTAGTTTCTAACAAGAAGCTAAATGGGACTACAGTGGTTGTCAGAGACATTAAACGTCTTCACAGCTAACAAATGAACTAAGCTACTCACTAATCCGCTTTCACAACCTTGTTATGTTTATATGTTAAATGATTCTTAAATAAAGACTGAGAGAGTTGTCGGAAGCTCAGTGATTGTGACGTTGAAGTCATGCGACTAGTGTAGTTCGTTTATAGTCTACATTCAACTTTTTATTTCTGCCAATAGTATTTAGGCTTCAAAATTCATAAAGTTGTGCTCATTTGTGAAATTTATCGTGATAAACGCGCAAGAATCATAAACCTTTGTTGGTCGCATAGCTTGTTTTCTGCAATAATCCAAAAGACAATGGTAGAATCCTATTGGGTTTTTGTCGACGGAACCAGGGTGATGTGAACTTACGTGTTGGCCTACAAAAATACATCATCACTGCCGAACTCAATTTCATCCCTATTATAAATGCTCGTGCATGATATAACCACTTGTGGATGGTTCACATGGTGGTTCCAAAATTAGTAGGAAATCTTGCACACAATGCAACAAACAACAGGTGTTGACATTACGTATTCAGCTGGCAACGATAAATGGAAATAAATGTTGTGATGTTTCAATCAAGAGGTGCATACATTTTTTGTCCAGAGACTCATAGATCCTAATTCATGTGTGAGAGTGATTCTTCATGCTCCCTCCCAACCATTCTTTCGCAATTTGAGCCTGATGAATCTTGACATTGTCATCCTGGAATATGGCCATGATTTTTCTTCCTATATGTTTGTTTAAGAAATTAAATGCAACACTCTCTATCAGTTAGGGTTAGAAGAACTGTTGCCAAATATAAAACGTGCTAGAAACATCATAATCACTGCAATAATGATCCAATCATAGACACTGCAATAATGATCCAATCATAGACTCTTAAGCATTTGCCTTTTTAAATCCAAATTTCTTTTTTTCTTTTTTTTTAAACAAGGGCAGTCACACCCTTATTCCAGGAATACACCTGCGGTGGTTAAAGCCTGCTGTGCTTGTATGCAAAGTTCAACAACCACTTTTTTTGAGACTAGTCTTTTCGGTTACACTCTTTTTTGATGGTCCACTTTAGACACACTTTACCAACTACAAGCAACTTTGCAACTACATGTCAACTAACTCTCATTAGAGTATTAGTAGACTATTAGATTAGGGTTAGGTGTTAGGGTTCAGGTTAGTAGAATAAGTTGACATGTAGTTGCAAAGTTACTTATAGTCACTAGAATGTCTGAGGTGGAGAATCAATTTGCGTAGAATCGTCTATGCTACAAATGTCTAAAAAAAAATATAAATAATACAAAAAATGATGTGATTTTTTTCACATTTTTAGATTGAAATATTACAAATTGAATTTAGTCAAATTGAATGTGTTGCCATAATTACAAAAAACAAACAAAAACAATTGCGAGTAATCAAATCAATTGACAACCCTAAAGAATTCTTTTGTTGTTTTCCTAGAAAGCAAGTTCCACAAATAAGCTGGCGTTCTGGTTTAGGCAGTTCTAACTGCCGCAATGAATGCCCTTCCAAACACAAAAACACAAGAAACAACATGCACAAACACTAACTTAGCATAGGCCTTCTCCAGCAGGGCGCTCCAGAACTCATTTCCCTCGGCGGAGTGAACAAACACCAGCGCACCGTCTTTCACTGGCAGCCGATCGTCAATGACAACATCCACCCATTCACCAAACTGCCAGAACTGAAGGACAAAGGTACAAGGTGCAGTCTCAGATTTATCTGTTCGATCTCAAGATGTGTGTTAAACTGCAAAGACACCCATATACAAACTTAAGAGTCGAACTCTGCATTAAAGGCAATAAGAAAATGCTTTTCTGGACACCAGTATAGTTTTATTACCATACTTTACCATACTTTTGGACATGAACTATGTATTATCTTGGTTTTTAGACATATATTATGCTATTACCATGTTTTTTAGTCATGTAAAATGATATTACAATATGCACTACCATTTAAACATTCATCAAGGCTCGGTTATAGGACAGAAAAGATGTTATATGCAACATTTTTACAATATAACATTTATTTAAAATAACTGCTTTCTATTGGAATGCATTTTAAAATGTAATTAATTCCTGTGATCAAAGCTGAATTTTCAGCATCATTACTCCAGTCTTCAGTGTCACATGATGCTTCAGAAATCATTCTAATATGATGATTTGGTGTATCATTTATGATGCTTAATATTTGTATGGAATCTGATATAAAAAGGATTCATTGATGAATAGAAAGTTCAAAAGAACAGTAACTGTTATAATAAATAAAGAACTATAAACATGTTTTTTTTTTACCTACCTTGTTACTATGTTTTTTTCCTCGTAACATTTACTATACACTCACTATAGTATTATCATGTTTATTCGGGCATGGTACTATAAAAGCTTGTTTCCGCCACTGATAAAAAAAAAAAAAAAAAAAAAAAAAACATTTATCCTACAATTCTGACTTTTTTTTCTCAGAATTGCTTAATATAAACTCCCAATTGTGAGTTATAAAGTCAGAATTGTGAGATATAAACACCCCCCCCCCCCCCCCCATATCTCACAATTCTTGGAAAAGTTTCAAGACATAAACAACATAAACATAAGAATTGCGAAATATTAACTCGCAATTGTGAGAAAAAAGATCACAATCATCTTGTTATTTTTTTTATTCCATGGCGAAAACAAGCCTCAATAGTAAAACCATGTAGCACATAAACATAATGGTAAAGGAATATAGTTTCCATGATATACTGTATATAAGTGTAAAATAAGAGTGTAACATATTTTTGCATATTAATATGGAATAAGCAACAAATCACTCCAGAAATTGAATGTACGTATTGTTCATTAGTATGCTAATGATTTTATATTGTAACATGTATAGTGGCACACTTGGGGAAACACTGCAGATACCTGGAAATGGAAGATTCCAGCATAACTGTCGTCAAAGTTCTGTCCGCCGGGCACCACTCGGGCCAGAACGTCTTCATTCAGGGTCAGGGAAGCAATAGCCGCTAGCAGCCAGCAGTCACCTGAGAGACAGGAAGTGAGACTGTTACTGTGTGTTTACACAGCTCTGCTGTCTGGAGTTTAAACATTATTCACTTACTCACACACATATTCAGTATTTTACAGATATGGAATATGATTTGCATTTGAAATGCAACTTTAAACCCATTCAAATGCCTGCAGACAAACAAGTACAGACACATTTCGAGGGACTCAAACTCGTGATCGAATCGGAGCAGCTATTGTGGTTTTCATGTCACGCAAGTGGTGAGCTGCCAGTCTGAGAAAGCAGATGCATGCAGAAAACGCAGAGACTTGAATCCGCTCTCCTAAAGACAATAGGCTGCTTTTCCTGCAGCCTGACACATGTATCACATTAAGACTTTACAGGATAAATACAGCCAGGTTTTCCTCTCTTTAAATGCAACCTTTAATAACTGTTTGAAATCCCCCTGGCTATAGTTTCTACGTTCGGGTGGTTTGCATTATGTGTTTGGCTCAGTTATTCAGTCAGTGGTAAACACAACACAGGAAGGAATGAGGCAAAAGACAGTATAGAAGGGGAGAGAGACGTTACTAAAGTTAGCAGTGTGAAGCTAAATGGCATGAACCTCCAGTGTTATTTTAGGATTGTTTATATTATACTGTTATAGTGTTTATGGTGACACTTATATATATAACACAATATGGTTTCATTAGTTAACATCTGTTAGCTATAGTTAACACGAACTAAGAATGAAAAATACTTCTACAGCATTTATCAATCTAAGTTAATGTTAATTTCATCATGAATTAATACACTATTAAAATCAAAAGTTGTATTTGTTAACATTAGTTAATGCACTGTGAACTAACATGAACAAACAGCTGTATTTTTATTAACGAACATTAACAAAGATTAATAAATACTGTAGCAAATGTATTGCTCACTGTTAGTTCATGTTAGTTAATACATTAACTAATGTTAACAAATTAAACCTTATTGTAAATTGTTACCGTATTTATTTACTATTTAAAATGAGCTTTCATTTTTATATTTTATGTTTTTATTTTCATTTTATTTGAAGTTTTAGTCATTTTGTTGAGCTTTTGTCATTTCTTTTTAGCTTTAATTTATTTATTTTATTATTCACTTATTTTAGTGAATTTACTAAACTTTTTTTCTTTCGGTTAGTTGTGAAGGCAACATTTTTGTATTTTCAACATCTAATATTTGTATTTTATGTTATTTCAGCTTTATTTCAGTTAGTGAAAACTAGTCTTAGTTAACAATAATAACAATGGTATGAGCTCTAGGTTAACAGCATCCTTCAAATACTGACCCGCCCTAGTGTGTGTGTGTGTGAGTGTTTGCTTGTCAAGTTCACAATTCACCTTTGTAGAAGTAACGTGCTCCACCGGATTTACAAGCATTGGGTATTACGCAATCAAACTTTTTTCAAAAAATGAGTAAAGTGAGGGGCCGTTTACACGTCACCGTTTTATGCCACACTAAAAAGTGCATTTTTTAAATTAGATGAATATAACAAAAAATGGAATAATATTCTATGTTTATTATAATTATATGAAACCTTCTCTCATGTATGTTTTTGGGGTATGAATGTGAGGATGAATGTATAAGCATGTAGTGTCTCTGTAGATTTGGGTCTGTAAATTGTATTTCTTATTAAATAAAGATTTAAAATAAAAAAAGTGCATTTTTGTAATACAGCCTATTTGTTGTTGCATGCAAACTATGTTAAATAGAAATACAGGTCCAGCACTTCCTAAGTAAAAATATCTTTTAAGCTATAAGCAAGGAGAGAGTCCCAGATGATGGTGAACAATATTGGGGAAAGTTACTTTTAAAAGTAATGAGTTTCAATATCACGTTACTACCTAAAAGAGGTAACTAAATGCATACTTTTTATGGAAAGTAATGCGCTACGTTTGCGTAATATTCTGAGATTGCATTTCACTGTTTTAATTCATTTTGAGGAATACTGACTCGTTTTTTGTGCAAGTGAGATAAGTAAATGCAACAAAAAAGTAACTTGTGTTACTTATTTGAAAACTAGTTATTTGCTTTAGTTACTTGAAAAAAAGTAATCTGATTACGTAACGCACGTTACTTGTAATGCGTTACCCAACCCCCCAAAGGTAGCACAAAAGTAACTTATTTTTTACTTTCCATTGCAAGTAATAGTGTAAATAACTTGTTACCTTTTATAATGAATCACGCAATAGTATTACCGCATGAAGCACATTTTAGGTTGCCTTTTTTTACGGAGTAGAATGAGCAATATGCTGAATTACTGGTTGAGGTACTTAAAAACGTTTAATATGCAATTGACTTGCAGGTATCCTATGTTTAAAGAATTAAGATAAGGAGGGCGAGAAGAGATATGTGCCTCGGTTTGCTGTATTGTTGACCTAAAGGCACGGTTCTTGACATTTAAACAAACATGGAGGATTAGCACACAAAATCTTAAAATGAATTTTCCTTTTACCCAAAGCTCCTTGACAGATATCCGTCCGTGTCGCTCCACCGACGATGAACTGTGGTTTCGAGCAGAGCTCCTGCAAAAAACACCAAAAACAGCCATATTTGAAACGCAGGATCATAGCATGCAATCAATATTATTATTGTAATATAGCATGACAAATTTTGCAATAATGAATTATATTGTAATCAAAGTGAAAAGGAGGGCATATAGACACAAAACAGTAAGATTGTATATACATTTTATATTGGGGTCCATGTACCAAGACAACAAATCAACATAATGCATTGTGGGAATTATTTTGGTCTGGCCATAAGAAGTCATAAAATATGAGTATGGCCTATTTTTTTTAACATGGCTTTCAAATGTGTTTAACTAGAAAAGTTATTCAAATGTTTGCGAACCATAGCCAACAGTCATTATCAGACGTGGCACAGGCAAAACATTTAGGCTACTGCTAAATATAACAAAAACAAAAAAAAAGTATTTTGTGAAAAGACGTTTAAGACTTTAGGCACTCAGCGATGTGCTTGCAATAACATTAAAGGTTATTTGTATGTTCAAATTTATCTGGTCTCAAAGCGTTCGTTTTTAACGCCCATGGCACATTCAGAGATAACGTTTTTAAAACTTCAAATGAATATTAGCGAAACGTTCTGAGAAAACAGTTTTGTGTTAGCTGGGTATAGGTTATAATCCCCACACTGGTCTCCAGTTGAGAGAACTGTTTTGAGAACTGTTTTGGTACGCTTTAAAACGCAACGCTGTTGACGCGACGCTAAACAAAATCGAGACGCAACAGCCAAGACGTCAGTCTGATGCACGTACTAATATTAAAAACAACGCAGACGTTAAAACGCAAATACGCGACGTAGCCTACGAAAACTCTCGTTCGAAGTGAAACCGTTGTACATAAATGCAACTCAGAATTTTGGAAATGCATGGAATTCCCGTTTAACCAACAACGCACAAACAATGCCCTCCGTATTAAAACTTATACTGAAGTCATACCCCGGGTCTTTTCCATACTATTCCTCTGGTTTTGGACGTGTTGGGTCCGAGTTCTTTAAAGCCCAGGGATTCGGGTGCGGCTGGGAAAGACGGGTCTGAGAACAGGGTCCCTCTGCCGAGACACTGGCTCCTGAGCGCCTCAAAGTCCTGGTTGAGGTATTTAGTGGCATTGGCGTTCGTTCCAAACCCTGCAGCCTGCGCTCTCTTCTTGGCCAGGGTAGAGGCGACTCCCGACATTTTCCACTTCTGAAGAACCAAAAAAAATCTGAGAAATGTGCAACTGTCTTTATGCTTCAACTTAGATTACTGTGACTCTCCGCCCCAAACTTTCTAGGAGTGGTCATCAGGCTGTCATAAGCGAGTTATTGCGCGTTTTTACGCACACAGTGAAGAACAGGAAGAGTGAACATAAATACACTGACAGCTGAGCGACTGTATCGCTGCGACAACAGAGACCATATCTTATCTGACTGATCAAGAATTATTATTGCTGTAGCCATTTAGTATTATACTATATATAAAATACTATTTAGGCTGCGATTCAAATATTATGTTATTGTTTAACTACATAAAATAACCTACTTTTATTTTGCAATGGCACTGCGGCGAAGCGCCGATGTCAGTCAATTAAAGGATTTTTTTAGTTTAATTAAGCTAATTGTGTGAACATAACTTATATTTGTTCATACATGTTCATTCTGATATTTTCTAGGCTACATAACGGTGGAGAGACAAGCTCAATACTCGATTAGCTGCACAACCGCGCCACCTATCGGATATTAAAGGTGGTGCAGCCAGAGCGTTGATTTCTACACAATTAGACGTGTCTAACCCTTTTTTTTACAGTCTATGGTCTGCGCACGTTTTGATTAATGTTAGCCTAATAAAATGCCGTGTCATTAAAGTAGCCTATTTATTGTAGCCTATTACTTGCACCGAGTTATATTTCAAATAGGCTATAGTAAACTAAGCACTACTGGATAGATAGACCATGGACATTCCCAAATGAAGTTTTGATTTCCCTTGGCTGGAGCTTGACGTCCGGCTCCCCCTCGTTGGACGTCTGGATGGAGCTTAACGTTTCAACCACACCCTCACCCTACAGCTAAACGTAACTCCGCCCATTATGTCCACATAGGTGGAGCTAGACGTCATCTGGCTCTGCAGCGAGCGTGGTTTTTGTGGCAGCCGCAATCTCAACAAGGAAACGAGTCGGCAACACTTTATCTATGTGGGAGAGGAAGTTAGTGTTTCAGCTATGAAGTTAGTTGATCATATACTAACAAAAATGCAATATACAGAAAATAAATGATATGTGTGAAATCCCAATTGCAACGTTTGGTGATGTAATTTAAACATTTTAAATGTGTTAGGACAGCGCAAATTGTAGTAGGCTATCTATTAGGTTTTGAATTTGCATAATAAAACGCTTGGCCGTACACACCCCTTTAATGGTTTTGCCCTGGCCCGGTAATTCCAGCGAATGCAAATCTTGTTTCCTTCTCTGTCAATCCACAAATTAAGGTTACGTAATATAGAAACGGCTACTGATTCTGGACTCTGGAGTTACATTTTTTTTTGGACTTGACAGATGATGAACTGGAAGTAGAAGCTGTTAGGAAGGACTAACTCTACATGCCTGTGGTTTTGACATTAAATGTTGCACAAATCATATGGGTGTGATGTTTGGGTGTCTGGCCATAGTGCAGTAGATCCAAAAATAATTCCATAATATTTTTGCTAAGTTGTTGTGGAAACAAGGGAGCATAGTGAAGCCACACTGACATTATTCCTGCTTTTGCTATTATTGCTGCTGTAGGTTATTGCTGCAGTTGGTTGTTGCTGTTGGTTATTGCTGTATGTTATTGCTGCTGCATGCTGTATGTTATTGCTGCAGTTGGTTATTGCTGTAGGTTATTGCTGCTGCTGTTGATTATTGCTATGTTATTGCTGCTGCTGCTGTTGGTTATTGCTGTAGGTTATTGCTGCTGCTGTTGATTATTGCTATGTTATTGCTGCTGCTGTTGGTTATTGATGTGGGTTATTGCTGCTGCTGTTGGTTATTGTTGTAGGTTATTGCTGCTGCTGTTGATTATTGCTGTAGGTCATTGCTGCTGCTGTTGGTTATTGTTGTGGGTTATTGCTGCTGCTGCTGCTGTTGGTTATTGCTTCTGCTGCTGTTATGGCTGTTGCTGGTGGTGGTAATTTCTGTTGCTTCTGCAGAGCAAGTATGGGACTTGCCACTGCCAAATTGCCAATACATAAATGACACGCTGCTGTAAGCAAGTAAGACCTGCTGCTGCTGCTGCTGTACAATATACCATGCAATGCATGAATTACCTGTAGCAGATCTATACAGGTGGAACTGGGGACGGTGGAGGGTTTCTGAAAGTGCTTTGCAACTGCTACAGCAAATGCTGACTAAGTGTTTGAAGGTTGAGTAGCAAGCTAATTGGCTACTGATACAGCAGGAACCAATCAGCTGTGCCCTGAAGAGAATTATGTGATTGCAAGCAGGAGTTAAGGACCTATTAGCCATTAATGCACGACAGACTTATTTATCTCAAAAAAATTAATTTATAATTAGTGTCAATAAGCAGCAGTTTCTCAATGTGACAATATGGGCGATGCCATCACAAAAGGTCAATGTGTATGTTTTAAGGGGGGGAAAACACTGTAAAGCTTTTTTTTTTTTTTTTTTTGGGACAAGACGTTAAGGTATGAATAGAAACTGCATTTCATAACGAAACCCACCCTGAGAAATGTTCACTGGACTAAAATTGTGAAAACCAGCCCAGGTCTCCCAAAGAACAAAAAAAGAACAATAGAAACACAAGAGGTCTGAATTTAGTGTATTAGGTCACACTTTATACAACACTCATGTTACAGTGCAATTACATTGGTAAGTATACTTAAGTAGTGAAATTAACATACTTTGAAAAGCGTCTGAAGTGATCAGGTAACGAAAAGCATGTACTTGCTGAACAGTTTTCTTCACAGGGTTACATGATGCTAAACCAGTGTGAAAACAACACCTGCCCCCCGCTGACAGGTGAGTGTGACTCCGCCCATGTTCTCCATATAGCCACTCTCACATTAAAACCAGCATCAGTCTCACACAAACACTCACACACTCGGCAAGCTTCAGAGACACTAGAGGACGACTAGAGGGCAGCATGTCTAATATTGCAAAGCTTCTTTCTAGGAGGCAGGACAGAGGAGAAGGAGTGGGAACAAATGAGAATGCGGTTCCCTTCAATAAGCAGGACTATGAGAGCCTGAAGCGGGAATGTCTGGCGAAAAAAACCCTGTTCTGTGACCCGACCTTCCCTGCTGAATCCGACTCTCTGGGATACAACGAACTCGGGCGGTACTCCTTCAAGACCAAAGGAGTGCAGTGGAAAAGACCAAAGGTACAGTAATGTCCTCTGTGTGTGTATGTGCTTCAGATAAACCCTATGTTATGGGGACAATATGTCTTACAGATATAATCTTACAGAATTATGTTTTTTGAAAATGTAAAAATGCAGAAAGTTTTCTGTGATGGGTAGGATTAGGGGATAGAATATACAGTTAAAAATCATTATAAGTCATGTGCGTGTGCTTTCTTTGCACAGGTGGAGTTTAGGTAAATATAAAGGCCTGTTTTTGTGATCTTTGTTTGTTTTATAGAATCGTTTTTTTATAGAATCTTAAAAAATACTTTTTACCTAGTTACTTAATAAAAAGAAAAAAATAGAAGAGTAAAATAAAAAGGTTAATTCAAGAGTAGTAAGGTAAATTGAAAATATGAATATCAATATTAACAATATTTTTTGTCATCCTTGTGTTATAATTTGAATTACATATTTTTGTAGAGTATTTTTTCAAGTCTTTAAGGTGATATTTCCATTCACAAGGAACAATGGGAGGAGTTTTAGTAATTAATAATAGGTACTATTAAATAAAATCATTTGTAAAATGGTAAAATTGAAAATGTATGTTTAATTGCTGCCTTTAAATTTTAATAAAACCAAAGTGAAACAAAGATCCCAATAACATCAAGTAAAACGTTCATTGCACTTATTTAACCACTTTTAATTGAATTACTAAATCAAGCTGAAATTCAAAGAGAAGAAATGACAAACAGTTTTAAACAATAACAATTTAGAAAAGAAAAAAACATATAGGTCTATATATGTTTAATTAAAATAATAAATATAAAAAAAATTGAATAAAAAGAAAAATGTTGATAGGACATGAAACATTTTTACAGCTTATCTGATATGCAAAACTGTATGTGTGCATGCATACGCTCACTATGGTAACCGACCGACGGCAGCTCAGGTTTCTCTTCAGGTGTGAGAAGGATCTTTGTGCGTGTTTGTGTGTGTGTGTGTGTGTGTGTGTGTGTGTGTGTGTGTTGATACTTACAACAAGCATACTCTCTGCTCATCGGTTTGCATTGTTATATAAATAAACACACTTTTATCTGTAGTTTTTTCTTTTATGAGTACAGTAGCAACCACACAATTGATCAACTGAACCTTTTAAATGCGCCGTTTGCTAAGAGTAAATAAAACATATTGTTACTCATGTGTACCATTGCAAAACGTATAATATGTAATTATACTCAAATTTTCCGTTTTTAAAGGAGCTGTGCTCAAACCCCGAGTTCATTGTGGACGGCGCCAAGCGGACGGACATCTGCCAGGGAGCTTTAGGTAAGAAAAGATCCTTTTGGTCACAATAGTGTTCGGGTGTGGCCTGTGGACAAATACAATGAATCATTTAGGATTCTCACCAACATAGTGGTCAATAGACATTATTACTGAAGTGCAGCAACAGCAAACATGATGCATACAGAATTTCAGGATCGGTTTAATTTTTTATTATGATATCAAATGAGGTGTTTAGTTACCTGTATGGTAACTAAATGTTGACTTGAGAACACTGTCCTCCACCCCAAACTCACACAGACTCATATTGTGCGGAGCTAACCACCATGACACAACGAATATAAACCCTTTACATGCGGCTTCACAAATATTCAAAACTCTTAATATGATAAATTAACACCATAGAGCCATTTTGTTTGTTCAAACAAAAAGAGACATGTAAAATTGCACGGAGCCCCCAAGAGGAAATGGTCATGGAAGAAATATGAGATGGGAAGAAAAATTATATTTCAATGGATTTTTCGTTCCCCCCCCAAAATTCCTAGCAAATGCAAAGTTAGACAGGGAATCCGATATTTTTGCAAGAGAACACAAAAGTATGGAGCCCCTAAAGGGACATGGTGGTAGAAAAAATATGTGCCGGGAAGGAAAAAAAGTATGTCAATGCTTTTGCGTTCCCCCCAAGAAAGTTCACGTTCACTCGCAAAGAGCTCAAAAGGTTTGCTAGCAAATGCAGTTTCTCAGGGGAACGAGAGAGAACGCAAAAACATTGACATAGATTTGACATATATCCTCCCGTCACATATTTCTCTCCTTCATCATGTCACTTAAGGGGCTCCGTACAAAAGTTGTGTGAGCGAATGAAAAGTTTCTCAGAGGAATGCAATTTTTTCGGCAAGAGAGCGCAAAAGACATGTAAGCAAATTTGAAAGTTTCTCTGGGGGAACGCAATTTTCTTTTGCAAAAGAACACAAAAGTTGTGCGAGCGAATGAAAAGTTTCTCTGGAGAACGCAACTTGTTTTGCAAGAGAGCGCAAAAGACGTGTAAGCAAATTTGAAAGTTTCTCCGGGGGAACGCAATTTTATTTTGCAAAAGAACACAAAAGTTGTGCGAGCGAATGAAAAGTTTCTCTGGAGAACGCAATTTGTTTTGCAAGAGAGCGCAAAAGACGTGTAAGCAAATTTGAAAGTTTCTCCGGGGGAACGCAATTTTATTTTGCAAAAGAACACAAAAGTTGTGCGAGCGAATGAAAAGTTTCTCTGGAGAACGCAATTTGTTTTGCAATAGAGCGCAAAAGACGTGTAAGCAAATTTGAAAGTTTTTCCGGGGGAACGCAATTTTATTTTGCAAAAGAACACAAAAGTTGTGCGAGCGAATGAAAAGTTTCTCTGGAGAACGCAATTTGTTTTGCAAGAGAGCGCAAAAGACGTGTAAGCAAATTTGAAAGTTTCTCCGGGGGAACGCAATTTTATTTTGCAAAAGAACACAAAAGTTGTGCGAGCGAATGAAAAGTTTCTCTGGAGAACGCAATTTGTTTTGCAATAGAGCGCAAAAGACGTGTAAGCAAATTTGAAAGTTTTTCCGGGGGAACGCAATTTTATTTTGCAAAAGAACACAAAAGTTGTGCGAGCGAATGAAAAGTTTCTTGGGGGAACGTAAAATCTGCAACAGAACGCAAAAGTTTTGCAAGCGAATGCAAAAGCACTGAAATATGGAGAAATATGAAATATAATGTGGGATGAAATACATGCTCAAGTGTTAGTGATAAGTAGTTAAGAACAAAGTATGGAGCAATAATACAAATAATGATGCAAGCTTCGGCAACCGCGAATTAACATTACCTCACACTACAAGTGCACAACTTCTGTTGTGGAAAAACATGGGCGTCACGTGGTTAAAGACTTAAGCTTGAAGGTTGTAGGTCCAAACCCCATAATGGTTGATCCATGAACCATCAGCATTGAGCAAGACACATACGGCATTGAGCAAAACACTGAAGACCAGCTTGACCCTGGAAGACTATCGATAAATGCACTGAAAGTTAGTTTGCATAAAATCATTAGCTCAAGGCAAAATTAATGTCTAATGATGATACATTGGCAGGTGACTGTTGGTTGCTGGCAGCCATTGCTTCTCTGACTCTGGATAATGAGATTCTGGAACGTGTAGTTCCACCTGGACAGAGTTTTACGGAGGACTATACCGGCATCTTTCACTTTCAGGTCAGAACATACAAACGGACTGAGTCCACATTGAAGATCTGGGATTTAAAGTCTAATTTAAACCTGAGGGGAATGGTCAATACTTCATTCAAGTATTTCTTATACGATGCACCATATGATCATATTATATTTTCAATGATAGATTAATGGGACACTGTCAGACTGATGGTGTTGTTCTCTTCTCTTCAGTTCTGGCAGTTCGGTGTATGGGTGGATGTGGTCATTGATGACCGACTGCCCACCAGAGATGGGAAGCTGCTGTTCCTCCACTCCGCCGAGGGCTCTGAGTTTTGGAGCGCTCTACTGGAGAAGGCCTATGCAAAGTGAGTGTGTGTGTGTTTATTCATCAAAAACGACCTGCTACTACTTACCTGAAATGCAATGTTGAACATGATACTGAGTCATCCAAAACGCTTGGTAAACACTCTGTCTACAACCACAGCCTACAAAACACACAATGTAACATCACATATCCATGACATCCCAACTGGTGATGCCGATTTCTACCTTGTTTTGAAGGGTAACCGGGTCATATGAAGCTCTGTCGGGAGGTACGACCACTGAGGGTTTTGAGGATTTCACCGGGGGCATCGCTGAGAACTATGAGCTGAGCAAAGCTCCTCCGTATCTGTTTAAGCTCATGCAGAAAGCCCTGACGCTGGGCTCATTACTGGGCTGCTCCATTGATGTGAGTCGTATTCCACTTCTGATGGCTTTCATTTCATTGCATTTTGAGCTGCAATAACTTCTCTATGGCAAGAAGAAATAGTGATTAATACGTAATACTGAGTAAGTCTTCAGATAAATGTTTTGTTGGAGCTGTGGCATACTTAACAATTACAAACACACTTTAGATACCTATAGCCCTTATTTATGAAGATCCAGATTAAAACTGGACAACTTGCATGTACTTCAAGGATGTTTTGCAGGCGACTTACTAAGAATACTTGCCACATATGTCTCACCCAAGTCTCACCCCTATTTAAAGGATTTTGTGTGTGGAAATAGCAAATTTTAGCTCACTTAAGTATTAATTTCTAAAGAATATCTTACTAACCCAAACATTTGAAATGGTCGTGCCATTGCTCTAATGTGGGAAAAGCGAATAGAAATAATTTGTTAATTACTGAGCAGATTTCCAGTTCCTATGAGACGGAGGCGGTGACGAGTCTGAAGCTGGTGAAGGGTCATGCCTACTCCGTCACGGCCGCAGAGGAGGTCAGACATCGCCACTGATGCTGAAATATGGATTCGATAGGAATAATTTGAAGTAGATCTAATGATTGTCACCTTACATCCAGGTTCACTTCAAAGGTAATCCGGTTGAACTGGTGCGTATCAGGAACCCGTGGGGTCAGGTGGAGTGGACAGGCGCTTGGAGTGATGAGTGAGTTCCCTAAACAGATCGTACTAGTTTAACATCAGTCTTTAGAGTCCTGTAAAATGTTTACCATCTCTTCCTCAGTTCAAAAGAATGGGATAGCATCCAACCAGAGGAGAAAGCTAAACTGGATTATTCAGCTGAAGATGGAGAGTTCTGGTGAGAGAACTTGAGATTTTTTAACCCTCAACAACGTAACAAATACCTTGGTTGACGAATCTTCCTCGTCCTGTCAGGATGGCGTATTCTGACTTCATACAGCAGTTCTCCAAGTTGGAGATCTGTAATCTGACTCCAGACACTCTTTCAAGTGAGGATGTGAGCCGCTGGAACTACAGCCAGTTTGAAGGCAACTGGAGGGTGGGCTCCACCGCAGGAGGCTGCAGGAACAACCCAGGTATATCAAATCAACATGCATGTGCTTGAAACCAAATTTTGTTTAAAAGTTGTTTTTGTTCCACCGTCCAACCATTTGGTTTCTCCTCTCTAGCTACATTCTGCTCAAACCCTCAGTTTGTGATCAAGCTGGAGGATGCAGATGATGATCCCTATGATGAAGAAGATGGATGCACTTTCCTTGTGGGTCTAATGCAGAAAGATGGTCGTAAAGACAAGCGGTTTGGACGAGACCTGAACACCATTGGCTTTGCCATCTATAAGGTAACTGGTTAAAAACAATCAGTAATAACATTGCAACTGGACAACAACATTACCATCAACACCAAAAACAACTTCACAACCAACAGTACCACCAACCGTGCAACCACTTGTTCAGCAGTCTTGGTTCTAGAAGTGTCTTTCCCATTCATTTTATCCATACAGCTTAAAAAAAATTCATGAACCAAACCAACCTGCTTCGAGATTAATCGCAAAATTTCATTTGAAGCAGTAAAGGAGGCCTATTTGAAAATGAAAAATCTTTCTCCTCAGCATTCATGGGTAGTGTAGATCTTCACCTGGTGTTTGACTTCTAAAGAATTTTATCTTAAATGATGCTGAAATATTGATTACTAGCCTCTGAGCTCATAGTACATCTGTCTGGAAATTATATATAAAAAAAATCTCTATGGAGAATGTGATTTTATTTCCAGAACCCGACTGTTGTACAGCACATTATACAACACATTTTTCCATGAACATAACCATCAACATTACCACAGAATATTTTTTATGGTGAAAATGTATGAATTGAACATTGATTAATATAATATTCTTTGGTGTTTTTCAGGTTCCAGATGAGGTGTGTATGAGCTCTATATGTTTTGAACATAAGAGTAACTGGACACCACAAATGTAACCAGTCATTCTTTCATTTATACGATACTACGGAGCCCCTGAAGGGGCATGGTGATGCTAAAAATTAGATGGGAGAAAAAAAGAATATTTCGATGCTTTTGCGTTCTTTGCAAAACTCTCTCCTTTTGGGAGAGAACACAAAGTTTCTTAAGGGAAAGCAATTCTTTGGGAGAGAATGCACATTTTCTTGGGGGAACAATCCTTTGTGGGAGACCGTAAAGTTTGGGGGTACGCAGTTCTTTGGAAGGGAATGCAAAGTTTCTTGGGGGAACGCAATTCTTTGGGAGAGAATGCAATTCTTTGGGAGAGAACGCAAAGTTTCTTGGGGGAATGCAATTCTTTGGGAGAGAATGCAAAGTTTCTTGGGAGAACGCAATTCTTTGGGAGAGAATGCAAAGTTTCTTTGGGGAACGCAATTCTTTGGGAGAGAATGCAATTCTTTGGGAGAGAATGCAAATTTTCTTGGGGGAACGCAATTCTTTGGGAGAGAATGCAATTCTTTGGGAGAGAATGCAAATTTTCTTGGGGGAACGCAATTCTTTGGGAGAGAATGCAATTCTTTGGGAGAGAATGCAAAGTTTCTAGGGGGAATGCAATTCTTTGGGAGAGAATGCAAAGTTTCTTGGGGGAACGCAATTCTTTGGGAGAGAATGCAATTCTTTGGGAGAGAATGCAAAGTTTCTTGGGGGAACGCAATTCTTTGGGAGAGAATGCAATTCTTTGGGAGAGAACGCAAAGTTTCTTGGGGGAACGCAATCCTTTGGTAGAGAACTCAAAGTTTCTAGGGGGAATGCAATTCTTTGGGAGAGAACGCAATCCATTAGGAAAGAACGCAATCCATTAGGAAAGAACGCAAAGTTTCTCAGGGAAATGCAATCCATTAGGATAGAACGCAAAGTTTCTTAGAGGAACACAATCCTTTGGGAGAGAATGCAAAATTTCTTGGGGAAACGCTATCCATTGGGAGAGAATGCAAAGTTTTTCGGGGAACACAATCCTTTGGGAGAGAACATAAAAGTTTCTTAGGGGAACGCAATCCTTTGGGAGAGAACGCAAAGTTTCTTATGGGAACACAATCCTTTGGGAGAGAACGCAAAGTTTCTTATGGGAACACAATCCTTTGGGAGTGAACGCAAAGTTTCTTAGGGGAACGCAATTCTTTGTGATCGAATGCAAAAGCATTAAAACATGATTTTCTAACATACTATTTCTTATATTTTTTTCCATCACCATACACCTATATGGAACAAGTTTTCAGATATAATTTCATCCGTGTTTGTGTTGCAGTTTAAGGGTCGCAACAATATTCATCTCGGTCCTGACGTACTGCTGCGTCAGCGGTCCATTGCAGGGAGCAGCACCTTCATCAACCTGCGAGAGATGAGCGAGCGCTTCAAACTGCCTCCTGGTGAATACGTCATCATCCCCTCCACCTTCGAGCCGCACCGCAAGGGAAGCTTCATACTGCGTGTGTTTACAGAGAAAGAGGCTGGTGCCAAGTGAGTTCCAAACTATTCTAGTTTTAGACCACATGGTGGTGATGTTGCACGGTTTCTGTTCTGTCTAGGGTGGATAGTAACACTAAAACGTCTGCTTGTTATGTGTTTGTCTGACCAATAAATCATAATTGTTCCTTAAACATTCTTGTATTTGCACCCAAATGCATGATGGATGTATTTCTGACTCTCGTCCCTGCAGCCCGATGGATGCAGAGATCAGTGCAGATACAAAAAGGGTGAATTGATCATTTATCATTTACAAACATAGTGTATATGTCTGTATGTATATATTTTAATTTTTAAAAAAATTTATATTACTAAAAGTAAATTTTTTCTTTACCAGCAATACATATCCGAGAGTGATGTGGACCCGCATTTCAAACACCTTTTCAAACAGATTGCTGGAAATGTAAGGCACATGATATATATATATATATATATATATAGTTTGGGGTAATTATCATTTAATTTTTCCCAGTTGAATGATCTTATTTTTACTCTGCAGGACTCAGAGGTGTCTGTGTTTGAACTACAGCAGACCCTGGACAGTGTTATCTCGAAACGTAGGAAAACACACTTTTCTATTTTTATTTGCATTTATATAAATATATAGATATTTGAATTTGCATTTGCATTTGAAAGCCCCTTGAAATTGTTCCAACAGTCTTTGCTGGTCATTTTTTTCACTGTTTTGTGGTATTTCACATAGGAACCAATCTGAAGACAGATGGATTCAGTATGGAAACCTGTCGCCACATTATCAGCCTGCTAGATGTATCCTTACCTCACTAGATAATATGAATGTATAGATACTACATGGATCAATGTAGGGATTAATAATATTTTTTGTCAGCCAAACCTCTTTGACTCAAAATATTTTCTACCCCCTGAGATTTCAATAATTCGACAACACATCTGCATGTTCACGGTTCTCTGATGACTATTTCCTATATCTTATATAAAAAAAATGTAAATATAGTTTTGGTAAATGTTATTTTGATAGTTTTTATTTTAAAAATATTTTTTCATTTTGATTTTTCGTTTAGTTATTAGCTTTTCATCAACTCACAGACTGCCTGCGATTTGCGAATCTCATTAAGGAAATTAAACACGGATTATCTAAATTTTAAAGTGTGCACAACACTAGCATCCTTTCATTGTACTCATGTAATCATCATAATCCAGCTATAACCTTTGACCTCAGTCCAGAGAGATGGCAGCGGCAAACTTGGCCTTGTGGAGTTTCACACACTGTGGATAAAGATTCAGAAATATTTGGTATAATACATATTTCGGTACAATATTTCAGATCAATTAAAAAGAAATTATAATAATATCCGACAAGATATATTGTGCATTCCTCAGAGCAAAATTTTAGTTCTGATCAATTCTTAATTTTTTAGTGATGTTTATTGTTGAATGTGGATTTTCTGTTATACCTCACCAGGAAATTTTTAAGAACCACGATACAGACAACTCAGGCACCATGAGTTCGCATGAGATGAGAGATGCCGTGAAGGAAGCAGGTAATGAGTCTATGTTTGACAGACCATTGAAGACAATGAATTAAGAATACATTTCTTCTAAAAGAGTATAATAATATAGATCGTAATATAGAGTGAAGTAATGCTTGCATGCATTTTTCTCTACAGGGTTCCAGCTGAACAACGAAGTACTGCAGGTGTTAATCTCACGTTATGCTAATCAGCAGTACGCCATTGACTTCGATTGCTTCGTCAGCTGCCTGATTCGCCTGGAGATGCTCTTCAGTAAGTTTTGCTGAAGATTATCCAGAATGTTTAAATAAATTGCTAGAAATGGAATTATGACAGTTTGTTTATTAGTGGTTTACTGTAACATTTTCACCTGTGCTCAACACAGACATGTTTAAAACGTTCGATAAGAAGGAGACTGGGAAAATCGAGCTGGATATCTTGCAGGTGATGCACAAGTGTGAATATCCATGTTGATTTCTCTATCTTCTCAATGTAGCGTTATCATTTACAGATGTGTTGTTTTGTGTGTTGCAGTGGCTCTGCTTGACCCTCAGTTGAAAATCCACTTATCATAATTTCACAAGAAGTCCATTTCCTGCAGTTAAACTAAGGAGGACACAGCAACTAAAGAACTGAACTGCTTTCAAAATGTAATTTGTTTATGGTGCTTATTTGCTAAAAATAAAACCATTTGCAATAATAAAGACGACTAAATTGTTTCATATTTACAAAGTCAGTCATTTTGATGTTTTTATGTCCTGTTTACAAATAAATAGCATAGTTTCCACCAAAATAACATTACATAGTTTCTACTGCGGCAAATCACAGATAAACTAATAGGTATCGCATTGAATTATGCATGGTTTACATGGTGGTACAATACAATGATATCTTGTTAGTGCATACAGACATTTAAATTCACAGATAATTTTTTATAGGTGGCCTGTGAAAGTGCGACTTCCGGTTTAGGCTAATAGCTGCTTAGGTAAATAAGAACAAGTGCACTAAACGCTAAAACTATTAATATAAACGAGAGTAGGCTACTTATGATCGATGATAAATTAAAATAATATGACAAAAAAAACCCATAGACTGTAAAAAGACAAAAAACAGCATCAAGCATAACTGTTTTTGTGGGCTACAACTGTCACGACACCAACACAAACAGATAGATCCAAGTGCATTAGGGTAATCCGTAATCATAGGTCATCCAGGCAAAGGGTCAAAATCCATACAAAGCAGTCCAAAACAAGAAAACAAACAGGAATAGATCTCCGAAGTGCAGCTGACATTAAACAAGGATTCCATGACAGTGAATGAAACAGACAGGGTATAAATAGGCAGATACAAACAATGTGAGTGAACAGCTGTGTGCAATGAACAGTAATGAGTACTGACAAAGGATTATGGAAAATGCCGTTCCTGATGTGGTGGTGACAGTATACGGGGAAAAGACCTCAACACAGTGGACACCCAGTGAACACCAACCAGACACTGTGACATTACCCCCCCTCTAGGAGCGGCTACCAGACGCTCCTTTGAAAACACACACAAAACAAGAGTCCAGGAGGGAGGTGGAACAGTGGAGAGTCAGGGGGAGGGATGGGGGGCCAGGTCCATGGAGGGGAACAAGAACAGGAGATGATGGTTTAACGAGTGGCAGAACAGCCCTTCGGGCGGCCATGGCGGAGACGACCAGGATGGACCAGGCTGTGTCGGTGACCAAGGCGGAGTGGCTCCTTCGGGGGGGCGGGGGGGTGGTTTGGGCGGAAACGACCAGGGTGGAACAGGCTGTGTCAGCGACCAAGACAGAGCACTGGGTTGGTAGGTTGCATCGGTGGAGCCGGTAGGGCGAGACACTGGGACGGCGCTAGCCGAGCGAGGCGCTGGGGCGGCTCCAGCAGGGCGAGGCGCTGGGGCGGCGCCAGCAGGGTGAGGTGCTTGGGGCGGTGCATGCAGGGCGAGGCGCTGGGTTGGTGCCGGCAGGGCGATTTAAAATCAGAGAATTAAAAACGAGCCAATAAAAATTGGCATGCAAGATTTGCATTCCGCGAGCCACCTACTAGCGCGGATATAAAAACCGTTAGTAAACATTACGGCTCCCTAGCCACCTGAGCAGCCGGTTGGGGCTTCAGGTCAACTGGGACAAGAGCAAACTCTGCCCCGTGCAGAGGATCTCTTATCTCGGTATGGAGTTGGACTCGGTCGCCCAGACCGCGCGCCTCACGGAGGAGCACGTCCAGTCAGTGCTCACCTGCCTCAGGTCTTTTCGAGGCAGGACAGCGGTTCCACTGAAACAATTTCAGAGGCTCCTGGGGCATATGGCAGCCGCAGCCGCAGTAACGCCACTCGGCCTGTTACACATGAGACCGCTCCAGCACTGGCTTCACGATCGAGTCCCAAGGTGGGCGTGGCAGAGCGGCACGTTCCGGGTCAAAGTAACCCCGCACTGTCGCCAAACATTCTCCCCGTGGTCAGATCCTGCGTTTCTACGGGGCGGAGTGCCCCTAGTCCAGGTTTCCAGGCATGCTGTGGTTTTCACAGATGCCTCTGCCATGGGGCGGGGGGCCACGTACAAAGGGCATGCAGTCTTGGGTCTGTGGACGGGGCCCCAGCTGCTTTGGCATATCAACTGCCTAGAGTTGCAAGCAGTACGCTTGGCTTTGTGGCGCCTCAAGGGGCTTCTCAAGGACAAGCACGTACTGGTCCGTACGGACAGCACTGCGACCGTTTACATCAACCGACAAGGTGGTCTAAGCTCCCACGGCATGTCGCGACTCGCCTCCCACCTCCTCCTATGGAGTCAGAAGCATCTGAGGTCGCTTCGCGCCACTCATGTTCCAGGGGAGCTCAACCGTGTGGCAGACGAGCTTTCACGGTTGCCTCCTCTGGCAGGAAAATGGCGACTCCATTCCCAGGCGGTTCAGCTGATCTGGAGTGTTTTCGGAGTCGCACAGGTGGACCTGTTTGCCTCTCCTGACACGACCCATTTCCAGTGGTTTTACTCCCTGTCCGAGGGGACCCTCGGCACTGACGCCCTGGCTCACAGCTGGCCCCGGGGCCTGCGCAAGTATGCGTTTCCCCCAGTGAGCCTTCTTGCACAGACACTGTGCAAGGTCAGGGAGGACGAGGAGCAGGTCCTGTTAGTGGCGCCGTATTGGCCCACCAGGACTTGGTTCACGGAACTCATGCTCCTCGCGACAGCCCCTCCTTGGCCGATTCCTCTGAGGAAGGACCTCCTTTCTCAGAGATGGGGCACTCTATGGCACCCGCGTCCAGACCTCTGGAAACTCCATGTCTGGTCCCTGGACAGGACGCGGAGGTTCTAGGTGATCTACCACAGGCAGTGGTAAACACAATCACTTCTGCTAAAGCCCCCTCTACGAGGCGCCTCTATGCGTTGAAGTGGAACCTATTCGTCGAGTGGTGTTCCTCCCGTCAGGAGGACCCCCGAACTTGCCCGATCAGAGTCGTGCTTTCCTTCCTACAAGATGGGTTGGAGCGAAGGCTGTCTCCCTCCACCCTCAAAGTGTATGTTGCCGCAATAGCAGCACACACGATGTAGTAGAAGGTAAGTCCGTAGGGAAGGACGACCTGATCATCAGATTCCTTAAGGATGCTAGGAGGTTAAATCCACCTCGTGTTTTGCACTCTGTACCCTCTTGGGACCTAGCTCTGGTACTGAGAGCTCTTCAAAGTCCTCCTTTTGAGCCTTTGCTGACAGTGGAGCTGAATATCCTGTCCATTAAGACAGCACTCATGTTGGCATTGGCCTCTTTTAAGAGGGTCGGGGATCTGCAGGCTTTTTCGGTCGACGAATCGTGCCTAGAGTTCGGGCCGGGTTTTTCTCACGTGATCTTGAGACCCTGGCTCGGATATGTGCTCAAGGTTCCTACCACTCCCTTCCTGGATCAGGTAGTGAACCTGCAAGCGCTGCCCCAGGAGGAGGCAGATCCAGCCCTAGCTTTTCTCTGTCCGGTCCGCGCCCTGCGGGTTTACATTGACAGAACGCAAAGCTTCAGGACCTCAGATCAGCTCTTTGTCTGTTACGGAGGCCAGCAGAAGGGGAAGGCCGTCTCCAAGCAGAGGTTAGCTCACTGGTTAGTGGATGCTATCACCCAAGCGTATGGAGCTACGGGTGAGCCTTGTCCTCCCAGGTTGCGTGCTCACTCTACGAGAGGTGTTGCCGCCTCCTGGGCGTTGGCTCAAGGCGCCTCGCTGACAGACATTTGTAGAGCTGCGGGCTGGGCGACACCGAACACGTTCACTAGATTCTATAGCCTACGTGTGGAACCTGTTTCCTCCCGAGTACTCGGTACGGCCAGTGGTGCGAGGGAATAGGTTGTGTTGGCTTGCTACGCCACTCCGTGCCTCAGCCAGATACGTGCGTCTTTCACTCCGTTGGCACCCTACGTTGGTTAGCCTCGTGAGTTCCTCCATCACCCCTCCGGTGCCAGGCGTGGCGGACCGCCGGCGCCAGGTCTACTACCTCTAAGGGAGTTGTTGTGTAGACTGGGTGTTATGTCTAGTGGTCTCTTCGGTGACCCATTATGCCACGTGCAGTCCAGCCGTGTCTTCCCCTTGACAGACTCGTTCTGTTGTCCCTGTTGAGTACGCTCCCACTCCCCTTGGAGGGGACTACCTCAGGGACTGCCATATGTTTCACTATCACCCTGGGCTAGTAAGTATGGGTATTCCAGGCCTTCATCAGGCGTCTGGTTTCCGCAGCGTTCCCTTCCCTTTTCATGGGTTAGGGCACGCTTTCCCAGTGTTATTCAATGTCCACTGAGTGGGTCTTGCGGAACAGCAGTGTGACTTCCTAGCTAGCTCCCACAATTTGTGAAACTGCTTGGGTAGCTTAGCTGGGTACTGGAAGGGGCATGGCGCTTTGTTAGGGATCCCAATTCGTCAGGGAACTCCCCGACGACACGTTGGAGTTCCCAGGACGAAAGGGAACGTCTCGGTTACGTATGTAACCCTCGTTCCCTGAGTACAGGGAACGGAGACGTGTCGTCTCTTCGCCATGTTGCTGTACCTTCGCGGAGGTCTGGACTCTGTTCGGCTCCTCAGCGAAAAGCGTCAATGCAATGTTTACTTCCGCTTTTTATATCCACGCTAGTAGGCGGCTCGCGGAATGCAAATCTTGTATGCCAATGTTTATTGGCTCGTTTTTAACTCTCTCGAAGGCAATAGGCTCCCTAGCGTGATCCCAATTCGTCAGGGAACTCCCCGAAGACACGTCTCCGTTCCCTGTACTCTTACATACGTAACCGAGACGTTTTTATAAATGACAATTTATGCGTCGGAAGTGGCGTACGCCTCTTTCAGGGCCTGTTTTGTGCGTATATACGTGACGCAACGGTTATAAATGAGGCCCCAGAACAGTCCCCTTACGCTCTCGTTTGAAGCAGTTTCTCAATAAAAACAGGATGGTGCACATTTAAGGCCTATATCAAAATAGGCTATTAGCATGCATCCATAATACCAACACAGTGGCATATTTTTGAACGATAATTTTTGAAGATTTTGTAAAGCTGTGTCATGTGAAGTCTTTTAGAGTCTGAAGCTGTTTAAAAGTGTGTGGAATGTGCGCTTTTTTGTTTTTAGTTTGTTGCAAAAGATTTATTTTAAATAATTTATAAAAGACTTTTGGTTTGCAAAGCCCACTTCTTCTTTTGCTATTTTCCTAATAAAATACGTAATT